TCCGGGCTTACTTCCTGGTTCTGCTCAGGGATCACTCCTGGCAGTGCTCAGGGGACAATATGGGATGCTGGGGAACAGTGCAGTGCAAGTGCCCTAGCCGTTGTACTTTCTCTCCAACCATTGTTATCCTGATTATTGAACAGGATTAATAATCTTTGATGGTTAGGAGAATCATGTAAGAACTTAGTGGAGGAAGACAGGGGATCTCACTCAACAGTAGGTAAAATGCCTGGCATGCTTGGGACTTGGGCTCAATTGCCTGCATCTTCCTCACCCTCCAAAACAAAAAAACAAAAAGGATTAATGGCAGACAAGGCCTAATCACTAAAATTAGCTGGGGATGTAACTATAGCAGAGAGATGTAACTATAAAGCAGAGCCCCAGCAGCCAAAGACCTCCGGAACCAGCCACAGCCATGCTTAAGACCACTCTCCACACGTTAGGACGAGCCTCACGCATGAAGAAACTGGCAGGGGATCTGTGCAGAGGAACCCAGGTATGCGGGACCTGGGGCTGAGATCTCCAAGTCTGCTCGGATCAGGACTGGGCCTCCTCTATCCAGATCCCCCATCTTCCAGTAGGTAGGTGTTACACCCACCAACTGCCCCCCCACCCCCCAATCCCATCAACGGCCAAGACCCAGACACTATAAAACCCAGTTCCCGGACCACTTATTATCTAGTTCTTACTCTTGGAGAACCTGGCAGGCTGCTGAGTCAAACTCCTCGTGGGTATTCGATATGACAACCCAGTAGCAATGATGGGTCTCATTCCCCTGACCCTGAAAGAGCCTCGAATGTGACAGTTTCTAAAATCTCAGGGCTCGGATGAAGATGATGTTGCTGGTGCCTGCTCAAGGAAATCAATGAACAACAGGATGACAGTGATACATTAACTATAACCAAACCGATATTGTTATCACACATCCTAAAAATACCAATTGTTAGTTGTGGAGCTAAATACAACTTATGAATTCAGTCACATTCCTTTGTGCCCAACAGCTAGGACATTTTTGAGGTTGCTTCTGTGTATGTTTTGGGCCACACCCTGCGATGTGCAGGGAACCACACAGGCGAGGAGGAGACTGGTTGGTTGCCTGGCACAAGGTTCTCTCTCCGGGACCCCACATGGCTCCTTCCCTGCCCACTCGCCCGCCAGGGTTGATCCTTGAGCACAGAGTGAGGAGTAAGCACTGAGTACCCTAGGTTTAGTCCCAAAAATAAAAGAAAAAAAGCAACAAAAACAAGCTGAAGAGGCTGAGATAGGCTGCCCGCCAACACACACTTCCCTGCAGCAGTCCGTACTGTGTCCTCAGACCCTTGCACTGGCCATTCTGCCAGACTGGAGGGCGGTCCCCGAAAAAGAAAGAAGGAAACTGGGGAGAAACCTAAAGCCCGTTCGAACGAGCTGCCAGCCGGTCCGCTTCTGGTCTCCCAGCAACGACCAGCCGCAAGAGCTTCCGGCTTCCGGGGCCGTCCCAGTCCGCGGAGCCGGGTTTCCCGCTGCGCTTGCGCAAGACGCCCTGGCCCCCACCGCCACCGGAACTGAACCGTTGGCAGAAACGGAGCGTTTAAACCCTCCAGCTGAGGAGCCGCCGCGCGGGCACGCCCTCCCTGCTCCGGGGAGGCAGAGGATTGGTCGGCCGCAGGCCCTGACGGGGCGATGATTGGCTGGAGCAGTCGCGTCACGGCGGCTGTGCGTGGCGCCCGGCCCCGCCCCTGCTCGCTGAGCGGCCGGGTCCTGGCCAGTCAGCGGGCGCGGCGCGGGCTTCGGTCCGCGGGGCTGCGTTTGCCGCCTCGCTTCCCGCGACCCCAACGTCCCGCGGGTGGGGCGGAGTCGGCGGCGGCGGCGCTCCCGGCAGCCGGCCTATGTTGCGCCCGGCCAACAGCCGCCGGTTCGGCCGACGTCGCGGTGAGCGGGGTCTTGCGCCTCTGGCCCCGGGGAACGGAGGCGGCAGCTTCGGGTGCGGCGCGCTGGGGCGGGGGCGTCGGGCCCGCCGGGAGGGAGCCTGGGCGCTGTGATGCGAAGGGGGCTGGGGGCAGTGCTGAAGGGGGCCACGGGTCTCCGGGTCGCCCGACGGTCTGTGGCCCAAGTCCGCAGTCGCCTACGGGCCCCGGAGCTGCTGGGCTGCGGCCGTTTCCGAGGACTGGAGTCCTGCGAGCCCTCGCGGGCGGCTCCGAGGCCTCGCCCGGCGGCTGCCCAGGAAGGAGGCGGCTTTGTTTCGGAGTTCGTGGTCTCCTTGCAAGCACTGTGTGCAAAGTGTGAGATCGGGCGGTAGGAATTGCACCCTGGTGACTTGGGGAGGGTCTCATGATGAAACCGTCGTTGGAGTGCTCTAGGATGACGCGGTTCACTCGGGCGTAAGCTGAATCGAGGGTGGCGGGTTCTGTGCAGAGACGGTCTCGGGGCGGGGGTGCGGTCTTGAATGCCCCACACCCTGGAACTGCAAAACAAACACAACGGGACCGTTAGTTCCCCACCGCAACCTCTCCCGGACCCTGGAAACAACAGCAAGAACAAACTCACAGCTCGAGGACCTGCAGGCGTTAGTTCCCATTGCTTGGGATGTCGAGTGAATGGATAAAGGATAAGGTTGTAATAAGTAAGATCGGATTAGAGTGTGAACATCCTTGATATCTAAAAAATAGCCACCAATTTTCCAAGCAGGATAATTTGATCCAATTTTGGTAGAACTGCCCTTCTAACAGCACATCTGGCGAGAGCCGAAATTATTTATATGTGGGAACTAAGGTTGTGGACAGTTTATATGCAGGAAAACGAGGCAAAGATGTCTTGATTTCCTTTTGCTGCCGTTGGATGCCTTTTTCAGGGAAGAATTCTAGGAATAGGTGTGTTAACGTGATTTTTAGTGTCACTGGCTTTCATTTAATTCGTTTGTTATTTAAGGCTTACTTTGGCCCAGAGTGCCCAGAGATCACTTCTAGCCTTTCTCCAGGGGACCTGTGCCAGCCAGGGATTGACTGCATGAAAGACAGGCTGCGTACATCTTCACCCCTCTGTACTTACCTCTGGTCTCAGCTTTGATTCCATCTGTGTGTCTTAAGTCAAAGTAATTAGTCACTTACGCACTGTCTTAAAATGAGAAATGAATTGATTTGTATAATGTATATGAAAGAAGAACAAGGAGCTGGAGAGATACAGCTAACCAGGGTTTCATCTCCAGCACCTCAAATGATATCCTAAGCCCTGTCAGTTGTGATCCCTGAACATAGGGCAAGGATTAAAACATGAGCACAGCTGCTGAGTGTGGCTCCCAAAACGAAAAAAAAAAAAGTTAAAAAGCCAAATGCGGATTTAAAACTTTTCTCTTTAATGAAGAAAAAGGCACCTTATATACTTGCAAGAACTGCTATCAGTCTATATGATGTTATTCATGGCAAGAACTTTAGAGTTCCAGCCCTGAGTAGAAGCTGTGTTGAGGTCCAGATATCTTTAAGGACTTTTTATTTTTGTTATCATTTTTCATGTTTATTTTTTGGTGGTGCTCAGGGGTTACTCCTGGTGGTTCTCATGGGACCATATGGGATACCAGGGATTGAACCTTGGTTGGCTGTCTGCAAAGCAAAAGCCTTTGCTGCTGTATTATCTCTCCGGCCTTCAAAGATTTTTTTTTTTTTTTTTTGCTTCTTTGGGCCACACCGAGCGATGCTCAGGTGTTACTCCTGACTTTGCACTCAGGAATTATTCCTGGCAGTGCTAGGGGGACCATATGCGATGCCTGGGATTGAACCCCGGTTGGCCGCATGCAAAACAAATGCCTACCTGCTATACTATCCTATTTATTCCTATCCATTTTAACAGAGTCTCAGAATACTCAGAAGAACATAATGAAGCAAATAGGAACAAATTCAGCTATTTACTGGACCTATTGTGAAATCAAATCACTGGCTGGAGTGTTAGCACAAGCAGGTAGGGCATTTGCCTTGCACGCAGCCAACCAGGGTTCAATTCCTCTGCCCCTCTCAGAGAGCCCGGCAAGCTACAGAGAGTATCCCGCCCGCACGGCAAAGCCTGGCAAGCTACCCGTGGCGAATTCAATATGCCAAAAAACAGTAACAAGTCTCACAATGGAGACATTACTGGTGCCCACTCAAACAAATTGATGAACAACGGAATGACAGTGCTACAGTGCTATGTTACAACATCATATATTTGATACTTCCCAACCTACCTGATTCAGTTAGTTGATAAAAAAGATCTTGGAGGGCTGGAGTGATAGTACCTCTCTGTTTAGGAGGTAGGGCATTTGCTTTATATGCAACTCACCCAGGTTTGATTCCTGGCATCCCACATGGTCCCCTAAGCCAGGAGTAACCCCAGAGCATCTCTGGGTGTGGACCCCAAAAGATCTTGGATGCTGGAGAGATAGTATAGGAAGTGAGATGCTTGTCTTACATGTGACTGACCCCTGTTGCATCTCTGGCACAACATACAGTGCCCTGAGCACCATCAGAATAAACTCTAGCCAATACTACGTGTGACCACCTCCCTACTCCCTCCCCCAAAAAATAAGATCTTGGGGGGAAAATCTCTATGATTTCCCAAATGAATGGATAAGTTGGTAGGCTTTACTGCCCAGAATAAGTGTGTATGTGTATGTGTGTGTGTGTGTGTGTGTGTGTGTGTGTGTGTGTGTTTTGGTCACACCCCAAAATGCTCAGGGCTTACTCCTTACACACAGAAATTACTTCTGGTGGTGCTCAGGGGGACCCTATGGGATGCTGGGGATAGAATCAGATTGGCCTTGTTCAAGGCAAGCAGCCCTATCCACTGTACTATCTCTAGCCCCCAATATTAATATGTAGTTAAATAACTATAAAACATAAAAATGATCACAATTTCTAAACATTTTATCTTCTGTACATAAGATGACATTTTGTGTAAGTGAACTAATTTTGCCTATAATTTTATTAATACATGATTAAATCATATTTTTTTGTTTTATTACTCATTAATTTATCTTTACTTCTTTAGGTTATTGTGCATTTGATTTTGAATAAATCATTGCCAACAATCATGGAGTCTACTTATCCTTTTGCAGGGGCCCAGGTGAATAACAGGTATAGATATATCTTTCAATTTTTTTTTTTTAGTTTTTCATGTAACTTGGGAAGATATATTATAATAGAAGAAAAATAATAATGTTTAAAATCAGAAAAACCTGTGTTCATATATCAGGTCTACTAATTACTAGGTAGGAGAACTTGATAAAAGTTAATCTGTAAATTAGGGCTAGTAATCTCTAAAAAAGATTACTATGTGAAGCAAGATAGTTTTTATTGAACAAAATTTACTTAGAAAGACATGAGGGGAGAAAAAGAGGAATACATATGTGTTCAAGGGAGAACACAGACTTCCCCAGAATGGGAAAAAGCAGAAAGAGAGAGAATTACATGTTCAAGGGAGAACACAGGCTTGAAAGAGCAAACAAAATGAGTTTTTTATGTAGGCTTAAATAAAACTGTTAAGGAATCTGGTACATAATAGTCACTCAGTATATAAAAGTGTCTGTCAATCTCTTCATCCCTTATTCCCTTGTTTTTCACAGAAGATTCTTTTATTAAATATGGGGAATAATCCCCAAACACTTAGGCTAAAATTCCCTGCCTGATTAAAGGAAAACGGTTGGAATCTTACCCTCTTCTAAACTCTAATTCTTTAAAGGGAAACATATCATATTGAACATACTGAATTTTCATAAATGTCCCTCAGCCTTTTCTCACTCAAATAGAACAGAAAGGGGGAGTTTGCCACCTGTCCGTGTGTCACTGTTATGGGGACAGGTAGACTGGCTTGAGTTGTTTGGCAATTCAGTTCATTTGTTCTTTTTACCCCTAGGGAAGAACAATTAATGCTTTTGTGACTTTCTTTTTCCCCTACTAAACTAAATTGCATCCATAATTACCTCTATATCGCTGTTGTTTTTCTTTGTGACAGATGTTCTTGATGAAGACAATGGGAAACACAGCCCGAAGAGGCTATCATATTCCATTCACTCAGTTTTGGCCCTTCTGTTCTGTCTTAAGCTACCTCTTTTTCTTTGAAAATTTGTTAACTATGTTCTTTGGAAGACCCTGTTGCACATATGGGCATCAAACCTGTGTTTCCCACAGGCAGGCCATGTGAGCTATCTTACGGCCCCATGCTTTTATTAATTTTTTAAACTTTTAGCAATATTTCAGCTCTTTTACACATACAAAAAGTAGTCTGGAAAGCTCCTCATTTAAGGTTAGATTGTTTCTTAAAAACTTCTACTGTTTGTTTTTTATTAAATATTTTTAAGGTTCCCTTCAAGCAGGATGGTACCTTTCCACTTTCCTCCATCAAAACGTGCTCTCTGGAATCCAATCCCAATAGGAGATTTCATCTACATACATCTTAATAACTGCAGGTATGAGGAGTTTCTCTCTTCAAATCACATCAGTATAAAATGGAATCAGTAGGATGTATAAAGCAAAATTGATTTTCATATGTGTGATCAATTTTTTTTCCCCTATTTGGAGGCTCCACTCAGACAAAATGAACCCTTCTGTTCTGTCTTAAATCTGTGTTTTCAGTGCTTTAAAAAAGTAGCTAGTTTTGCGGCTAAAGTATTCTACAAATGGGTTTGTAAGAATATTTGTAAGTTCTAAGAATGATAGGGGCTGGAGCGATAGCACAGCGGTAGGGCGTTTGCCTTGCATGCAGCCAACATGGCCGACCCGAGTTCGATTCCTCCGCCCCTCTCGGAGAGCCCGGCAAGCTACCGAGAATATCCCACCCACATGGCAGAGCCTGGCAAGCTCCCTGTGACGTATTCGATATGCCAGACACAGTAACAACAAAGTCTCCAATGGAGACGTTACTGGGCCCGCTCGAGCAAATCGATGATCAACGGGAGGGCCTTTACTTAAGAATGATAGGAATTAAAAAAGGACAATAAGAACTTGAAAGGCTTTTCATCATGTCTCATGTTGCCTTACCCCCTGTACCATCTCTTCTGCCTCATGGCCTTATAGTTTCTTGAATCTTATTGTGGTTCATAAAATTTGAGCAAATGCCTTGAGAAGTAATACTACTGGCATTTTGGTTTACAGGCAACCTTTCCTACTCCTTCCTTTTGACCCTTTAGAGATCTTCTGTACACTTATTTTTAGATGGAGGTTGGTCTCCCAAGCAATGCTTGAGAAGGGCACAGGGCCACTCCTGGCAATACCCGACCAACCGAGCCTACTGGTTCAAGCCCAAGGCTGAACAACTTGAGCCCAATAGTACTAAAGAGCACCACAGCAATATTGGGGATGTCTTGGGGTGCCAGGTTCAAACTCAGGTCCCAGTCTGCTATCTCTCTGGCTTATATATGTTGTTTTTGTATGTTTGGGGGCCATATCCAGCAATGCTCAGGGCTTCTCCTACCATGGTGTGTGGGGTCATTCCCAGTGGCCCTAGGGCACCATTCAAGGCTGGGCCTAGAATCTGGGAAAGTCATTCATAACGCATGTGCTCCAGTCCGAGCCAACTTTCTGGCCCCTCTTCCTGTATACTTTTAAAGATGCATATTAGACTTTAGACCACATTTCAGTGAAGGAGGGTTTTTTTTAGGATATTAGACTCACCACAAGACTTATTATTTTTCAGAAAACCAAAACTCATAGTAACTGAAAAGGTCATCCGACTTGCTTGTCGTCATGCAAAGCAGAATAAAAACAACTTGCCATGCTTTTTACTTGGGTCTTTCACAGTAAATGAAGGTAATATACTTTAAAAAGTTATTTTTATGGTTATAATAGAATTTCAGCTTAGTGATTTATGATAGAATTTATTAATATAAATAAGTTGTTTTATGATTATAAGGGGACTTGTTTATTGATTTACTGATAAAAATTTATTTTCCCCCTGTATATCACATTTTAAGTCGTGTAATAATTACCATTTTTGTTCTTCAGATGAAGAAGGTGTGACATTGACAGTAGATCGCTTTGACCCTGGTCGAGAAGTACCTGAATGCTTAGAAAGAAAGCCTACTGCTTCTCTTCCTGGGGATTTTGTGATTCCATGTAAAGTTCAAATTCAAGGACCGAGTTCAAAAGAAACAATAGTTCATAATGCAGATGACTTCATTTCAACTTTTAAGGTGTGATTTTTTTAATTCCTTTTTAAAAAGTTGAGGTGGCATTGGTTTCACTTGATCATTTCACTTGACTTCCCGTTTATCATTGATTTGCTCCAGCGGGTGCCAGTAATGTCTCCATTTGTCCCTGTCACGTGCTAGTGTAGCCCAATGGCGTCTGCTCATTCTAAGAACACAAAGAGCCTCAAACCGATCTTTCAGGGTCTTGACAAAGAAGTCTGACCATCCGATAGGTAGGCAGCTACGCGGTCTTTTGTCGTCCCATGGAATCCAGTCAGTAATGACTCTAGTCCAGCGGTCGTCTCCAAATCTCATTATGTGTCCAGCCCATCTGATTTTCGACGCCTTGGCAAACGAGACAGTGTCCCTGATTCTTGACCGCCAACTGAGGTCAGAACTCCGGATTCTTTCTCTCATTTGAGTGAAACGTCATACTCCAAGCACAGCTCTTTCGATTCCTCTTTGGGAGACCCGAATCACATTCTCATCCTGTTTGCGTAGGGCCCAGGATCTCTGAGGTGTATGTTAATGCAGTAACTACAGTGGGTCTCCAGCATTGGTTTACTTGCTGAAAATGTTTATATGTTTGGAGGGTAGTGTTCCTCACCATACCCCACCACTATCCACAGGACCCTTCTCTGCTCTCCCCATAGTCTCCTTTGGTAGCCTCAGTTCTGTTATTGGGGATTGGTTTTCACTGGACATGGTCTCTTTTGTTTCTTTATTTACCACACATGAGTGAAGTATTTGTTTTTGTCCACCTGACTTATTGTACTTAGCATGGTACCCATATGGCAGATTTTTAAAATGTTATAATTGGCATATAGCATTCTATTAGTTTCAGGTATAATTATTCTTCAACACAAGTGTCAAACCATGTACTATTATATTCTAGCAAACCCAAATTTAATAAGTATAACTTCTAATTGCCCATTAACTTAAAATACAATTAAATGTCATTTCTAAGAGCAGGAATCCTAGGTGTTGGATCATAGGGGTAGCATTTCAGAAGTGGTTAAGAGACTGCGAAATATGTTCAGGGTGACACTGAGGATGTATGTTTTTGCTGGGTTTGTGGAGAAAAAGTTTGACCAGATTTTATATATATAAATATATACATATATATTTTGTCTGTCAGCCTAAGGAATTTGTACTTTGTCGTATGGGCCTATATAAATACTGAGAGTTTCTAGAAAGATGAAATACTATTAAATCAGGGATAATCTGATAAACCCAACTGAAATCAGAGAGTTTAGTTAACCCATTGCAGTAGTGCAGTGTATTTATATGGAGAGATGCATTAGTCTGTGGTAGAGCAATGGCAGTGAGACTTGAAGAACATTGTGGGCATAAGCAGCTATGGAAGGAGAGTGGTGTGGAGTAAAGAGAAGGAACCAAAGAGCAATGGATTCAGATTCTCTGAGACTGAGTTTGAGTTAATATCCATTCCCCCTGACTCCCTCCTGCAATGTTCTGGATGTTTATAGCAAGTGACGTTGCCCAATAAGAATTGGAATGCTACATCATCATCTTAGAAATGTACCATGGAGCTTGATATAATAACTTATTAGCTTGGATTTAATTGTTCCTTTAATCTTTTGGTCTCATGGAAGAAATGAAAGAATCAGCATTGCAAATTAGAAACATTTATTTACGTCCTCTGTGCGCAGGGATCACTCCTGGTCGTGCTTAGGGGATCACATGGGGTGTTGAGGTTTGAACCTGGGTCAGCTACATGCAGAACAAGCAGTGCACCTCCCCTCCCGTGCTCATTGCCCCGCCCCAAAACATTTGAATTCTTTAGTTATGCACCAATACAAAAAACCTTGAGAGCAACGAACCAATTTCCAAGTTTTACAATAAATGTGTGCTGTTGACTCCTCAGGCTCTGCAGCACCATGTGTGTAGCAAAGATTCCTTGGAGTGTGGTAAGCTGCTTTCCCTAAGAGCCCATATCACTTCGGCAGAGAGTTTGGACTGTGTGGATTATGACTTGAATTGTGCAGCAGTGACTATCGCAAATGGCTTCAGATGCACACCTGTCAAGCCCATCCCCATTATTCCAACAGCTCTGGCAAGGAACTTGGGCAGCGAGCTGAATATTTCTCAAGTTCAAGGTACCTATAAGCATGGGTAAGTAAATGATTGTTATCTTTCAATCCATTGATCCAACATTTAAAATAATAGTTACATGAATATATTCTCATCACAACATGAAAGAATTGCGTATTCAGTTGCATACCAGAAATCTATGTTGGTAAGACAACCAGGAAAAGTGAAAAGTGAAAGTACTTTAAGTCAATATAATTTTCTTTCTTAGAGTTGTGTCCACCCCAAGAAAAATTAGTATAAAATTATATTGAAGTTGATTATATTCTCTCTGTCATATTTTTCCTAGGTTTTAGGTCTTTGTCCTTTTTTTTTCTTGATTTTGAGCCTAACAGAAGCTGAAGAATTTATTTATAGTATGTAGGCAATTTTAATTGTGAATAATGAGCATTGCAGATAAAAGGAGGTAATTAAATAAAAATTTATAGCACTGGATAATGCCTTTGCATATCAAATTGCTAAACATTTGTGGGTGGAGTTTCCTCACAGACTTGGAGCGGGAGCCTCTGCTGACTTCTATGACCACTTAGAATTTCCTTAGGGAGTACAAACCAAACTGCTCTGGGTGCCGGTTCTGTTCATCAGTGGGGCTGCTTCCTTATCCACTGTCTTTATGCATTGTTTACTGAACCACGTTAGACAATGTAGGCCCCCTCTTTAAAGTGTATGCAGTTTCTTCTGGCTTCCTTTCCTGCTGACTCCACCCTAGTTCCTGTTAGGTCTCTAGAGCCGAAAATGCTTGCCAGGGCACATTCAATTCCAAGTTTTGTCCTCTGAAAAGTGCCTCTTTAGAAGAGGATATGAAAAAGAGAATCTGTCGGTCTCTGAAATAGTGAAATAGAGCCTAGATCGAATCTTTTTTGTTCGTTTTTGTTTTGGGGCCACACCCGACTGCTCAAAGATCACTTTTGGCTCAGAGACCTTAGGCAGTGCTAGGATCAAACCTGGATTGGCACATTCGAGACAAGTGCCCTGTTCGCGCTGTATAATCTCTGGCATTTTTGAGTCTTACATGCTGAGCAGAGGATCACAGTCAGAAATTGGGGAACCTGTCAGCCATTTCTAGTGAGGCTTGACATGGTGGGAGGTGAGGGCCACCAGAGCCATGCCCGTTCTGCACTGGTAGAGCTTGCAGTGTGGCATGTGGTGCTAGGGCCCAGCTCAGGGCCTTGTCCATGTTAGGTCTGAGTTCTGCTTCTTTGAGCCCTGTCTCCAGACCCTGTACTTCTACTTATTTAGGTTTTATTTTTTATTATTTGTTTGTTTTTTGCTTTTTGAGTCTCACCTGATAATGCACAGGGGTTCCTCCTGGCTCTGCACTCAGGAATTACTCCTGGCAGTGCTCAGGGGACCATATGGGATGCTGGGAACCGAACCTGGGTTGGCCACGTGCAAGGCAAACACCTTACCTGCTGTGCTATTGCTCCAGTCCCTAGGTTTTATTTTTCAAATTTTGGGACCACACCCAGCTGTTCTCCGGGCTTACTCCTGGCTCTGCACTTGGGGATTGATTACTCTGGCAGACTTAGGGGAGCGTATGGGATGCTGGTGATCGGACCCCCGTCAGCTGTGGGCCCTAATTGCTGTACTATCACTGCAGCCCCTCTTCCACTTCTAAACGCTCCTTAAAATAAATCAAAAGCTTTTTTTTAAGAGACTATCGACTTAGTGCCCATTTTATTTGTTTTTATGGGGCCACACCCTAGAGTGCTCAGGGCTCGGCTTAGATGGTTTGGGGGTGGGGTGAGCGGCATATGGTGTTGGGTATTGAACCTGAGCGCCTCGTGCTAAGCATGTGCTCCGACCCTCTGAGTTACCTCTGTAGACCCAGTGCCCATTTTAATAAATTGAAATATCAAAATAATGAATACTGTAAACCTCTTTGTCTTACTGAAATCTTTTTCCATGCCTTGACCTATTCTGTATACCTGAGTGTGAATTAAAATGTTCATTTGAATCATCTGCACAGCCCAAAATATGCTGCTGCAACACTCATTGTCTTGCTTCAGTAAAATGAGCACACTTTGACTTGTTTTTATATGCATACCTTCCCTTTAGATATCTTACCATGAATGAAACTCGCAAGTTGCTACTTTTGCTGGAATCTGATCCCAAAGTTTCTTCTCTACCATTAGTGGGAATGTAAGTGTTGCATTATTTGTGGTAATCTTCTACTCACATTTGTATATAAATATGTCAGTTAGCTTGGCGTGAATATGTAGTACTTCAATTATAGCAACAAAGGCCAGTGATTCCTGAGATTATCTTTTGGTTTTTGGGCCAAACCTTCTGTGCTTAAGGCTTCCTCCTGCCTCTTTCTTGGGGATTACTCCTAAGCAGGGCTTGGCGTCAGAACCACGTGGATGCCATGGAACAAATCTGGGTCTGCTGCATGCAAGGCACGCATCCTACCTGCTGTACCAATGCTCCAGCCCATTCTGAACTTATTTTAATAGCAAAATCGGTTAAAGCAAAATTTAACTTGATGTTCAAAGACACTAGTTTATAAAACAAAAAATTGAATTTTTCTGGTCTAAGTTGAAGCCCTAGACTGCTCCTTTTTTTTTTTTTCTTTTTGGGTCACATCTGACGATGCACAGGGGTTACTCCGGACTCTGCACTCAGGAATTACTCCTAGTGGTGCTCAGGGGACCATTTGGGATGCTGGGAATCGAACCCGGATTGGCTGCATGCAAGGCAAATGCCCTACCTGCTGTGCTATTGCCCCAGCCCCAAGTCCTCATTCTTTATCTGTCAGGATCTCCTATCCTTGAGGGAACTCTTGTTTTCTTTTTATATTTTTGTTTTGTTTTTGAATAAAGAGTTCAGGAGAGTAACCCAGCAATGCTCAGTGGTTGCTCCTGACTGCACTTAGGGATCACTCCTGGTGGTGCTGTGGGGTACTAGGATTGAACCTGGGTCAACCGCATGCAAGGCTGGCACCTTACCTGCTGTAGTATCTCTCCAGCCATCTTTTTTTTTTTTATGTTTTTCTTCTTTTTGTATTTTGGTTGTTTTTATATTTTTGGTTTTGGGGATACATATGCGGTGCTCAGGGTTTGCTCCTAGCAGGGGCTGTGGACCATGTAGGGTGCTGGGGATTGAACACTTGTCAGCCGTAAGCAAGGCAAGTGACTTACTGACTGTACTATATCTCAGGTTCCTTTGATTTTTTTTAGGTGGGAGGGCCATACCTGATCGTGCCTGGGAGCTATTCCCTGCTTGGTGCTCTGGGGAGTGCCAAACTTTCAACCTTGGCTTCCTGCGTGTAAAGCATATGCTTCAGCCCTTTGAACCGTCTCCCAGACTGCTTAAGGCATCCTTAAAAAGAGGCCCAAAATATAGTACAGAGGCTATATGCTTGCCGTGAATGTAGCCAACCTTAGTTTGATCCCTGACACCACATGGTCTCCCAGCAACACCAGGAGCAGCACTGCATCCTCAGGCCCTCTCAGAATTGAAGGCTCATCAGAGAATACCCAGAAGGGTCCCCCAGGCCCCCAAGGTATTTCTTGGGAGACATACCCCCTTGCAAAAAAGGGCTCAGAATAACACTGTTTAAAATCAGTCCTCCGTCTTTCCCTCCCTCCCTTTCTTCCAGTGTTGCTGATGAATGCCAAAAATCTCTGCCATATTACCTTAGAAAGAGTATGATATAAAGTATTGGTTTGTGAATGACTAGTTTTTCACTTATCTTTTTTCTTGAAGTTGGCTGTCGGGGATCATACATATCTATAGTCCTCAAGTATGGGCTTGCTGCTTGCGCTACATGTTCCGTTCTTCTATTCAGGACAGGCAAGTGAAGTTTTTTCTGTATTTTATTTTTTCTCCTTTCATACTTCATTGTACTCATTTAGGATTGATTTAGAATATACCTAAGTCAGAAAACCAAGCAAGTTAAGAAAATTCTTCTTCTATTAAGTTTGAATATAATAAAAAAAAAAAAAGTGAGCTGTCACTGTGTTTAGAAATAGGAAGGAATTAATTTCCCTAACCATGGAACTATAATATAGAAGATAAAGTTTTGCAGCAGTGTAAGAAAATATTTTATTGTATCTACTCAGGTATACATACTATTTTACAAACGAAGACGCACTGGGAAATAGCTCAAGTGCCAGAGCACATTCCTAGCAGGTGCTAGGCCCTGAGTTTGATCTCTGTGTGCTGCCTGATAGTGTAAGCACTGTTGGGTATAACCCCTGTAATAAAAAAAAAATTTATAGGGGACCAGATAGAATAGGGCAGGGCATTTGCCTTGCACACAGTGGACCTGGGTTTGATCCCCAGTATCCCATATAGTCTCCTGAGCCCACCAGTAGTTTTCCCTGAGTGTAAAATCAGGAGTAAACCCTGAGCATTACGAGGTATGGCCCCCAAACCAGAAACAAAATTAATTAATAAAATGTAAACAAAATTAGTTTTCAGTGTGATGACTTGAATTTGTTATAAATGTTTTAAGTTACACAATGCAACAATAATATTTTTAGAAACATGTAAGGCAAAAAAGATGCTTAATCTTCCTGAATTAAATCATGGCATTGGAACTAATCGGTCACGGTCACGGTCCTCCTGTTGTTCATCGATTTGCTCGAGCGGGCCCAGTAACGCCTCCATCATGAGACTTGTTGTTACTGTGTTTGGCATACCAAAATACATCACGGGTAGCTTGCCAGGCTCTGCTGTGCGGGCGAGATACTCTCGGTAGCTTGCCGGGCTCTTCGAGAGGGGCAGAGGAATCGAACTCGGGTCGCCATGTTGGCCGCTTGTAAGGCGAACACCCTACTGCTGTGCTATTCTTAACCTAATTTAGTCTTATTATTTTATATGTGATACCACTGTTTACCACTTAGCTTTGCCATTAAATGAAAATGTCAAGGTTTATTTTTATCTTGGGTAATTATATTATACAAGTTATTGAAAGGAACAGTTGAGAGATGTATATGGTGTTCATTTCATGTGACCTGTCCTGGTTTGAATCTTCGGCACCACATATGGTCCTTTCAAGCACTGCTTGGAATGATCCCTGTGCACAGAGCCAGAAATTAGCCCTGTGCCCTACATGGTATGATGTCACAAAACCAAAAAATTGGGGGTAATTACAGTACAGGAGTTAATGAGTAACCCCTGAGCAAAGTCAGGTATACATACCTCCCCCTTGCCCCCACTCCAAAGAAAATAGCATGGTAGCACTGTCCTGTTGTTCATCGATTTGCTCGAGTGGGCACCAGTAACATCTCCATTGTGAGGCTTGTTACTGTTTTTGGCATATCAGATACGTCACTGGTAGCTTGCCAGGCTTTGCCATGCGGGCAGGATACTCTAGGTAGCTTGCTGGACTCTCTGAGAGGGGCGGAGGAATCAAACCCCGGGTTGGCCATGTGCAAGGCAAACACCCTACCAGCTGTGCTATCGCTCCAGCCCTCCAAAGAAAATAGGTAAAGGTAAAGGTAAAGGCCCTCCCGTTGATCGTCGATTTGCTCGAGCGGGCCCAGTAACGTCTCCATTGGAGACTTTGTTGTTACTGTGTCTGGCATATCGAATACTCTCGGTAGCTTGCCGGGCTCTCCGAGAGGGGCGGAGGAATCGAACTCGGGTCGGCCATGTTGGCCGCTTGTAAGGCGAACACCCTACCCACTGTGCAATAGAACACAAAATTGTAAAAGGAATATCTGAAAGGTTTACATACCTGAATTTTAAAACTTATAAAGCTATGGTAGCCAAAGGTTGTATGGAATTTGGAAAAAATTAAAACAGTAGACCCACAGAATAGAGATACCTACTGGGTGAAGAAACCATTTTCAACAAACTGCATTGAAACAGCAGAATGAGGGCTAGAGAGAGAATACAGCAGGAAGGGTGCTTGCCTTGCTTGTGGCCGACCTGGGTTTGATCCCCAGCATCCCATAGGGTCCCAAGCTCTGCCAGGAGTAATTCCTGAGTGTAGAGATAGCAGTAACTGCTGAGCATCACCAGGTATGGCCCTAAAACCCCCGCTTCCACCCCTTTCACCCCAAAAAAGAATAGAGCTAAGGAATAGCTTCACAAACTGGAGCACATACCTAGTATGCCTGAAGTATGATCCCCGACACTTCGTTCTCCCAGAGGATCAGACTAGCCTTTGTGGTCCCCAGTACTAACAGGCATGGGCTGAGCAACGAACTGTCAGACATGCACTGCAATACCCAGTATCTTCTGGAGTGATTCCCTAGGCCCCAGATGCTTCTAAGAAGGCTATAACCCCTCTACCACATCCCAACAAAAACAACTACTAAAATCTTACAGTCTCATTTCTTTCCCAAGAGTTGAATTGTTTACTAAGAAGACCAAGAGCCGTAATTTGAGTACTTCAGAGTACTTTGAATATGCTTATGTTATTCTCAATAAATTTTAATTTTTTTGTTGTTCAGAGTTTTTTCAGAATCTGGAAATTTCATTATAGTTCTGTATTCTATGACACATAAGGATCCTGAGTTTTATGAATGCCTGCACTGTGATGACAGATTTCCTGAACTTCAGTTCCAGCTTCTAAACGGCAAGGAAACATTACATTTTTTCAAAGTAAGTGATTTGAGTACTGCTGCATTAATGATTTGATTTTTTTTAATTGAATCACCGTGAGATACAGTTACAAAGCTTTAATTTTTGAGATTCAGCTGTACAATGATTGAGCATCCATTCCGTCACCAGTGGCCCCAGTATAAACCCCCGGCTCCCCATCCCAGTCCTCACCCTACCTCCATGGCAGACAATTTCCCCAGTACTCGCTTCCTACTTTTGAGCATTGTTTCTGCTCAAATTTTCCCACCACCATTCAAGCCTGTCTGCTAGGGGCAGCTGCTGGATCATTTATTGTCAAGGGGTTGACATTTTTAATATCATGGGTGCCACGGCCGTGCACTTCTGGATTACTAGCTTGAAGATGGTTGAGTTCTAGAGACATTTCTGTAGGGCACTAATCCATTTTGGGATTCAGTTGGGCTTCTCTGGACCAGGGCTGTTGGTGCCCTTAAGATGGCTCCTGGAGGCACACTGTGGGTGTGACAACCAGGCTGACAAGCAGGTGGGGAGCCAGAGAGGTACAGCTCGGCACCTCTGCCACCATGCAGCATGGAGGTGTAGTCCTGGAACCTGCATACCTGGGCCTTGCTTGTGGAAGCTCTTGGTCGCCAGGATTCCCTCTGGAGTAGGCGCGGAGAGAGCACCTGCTCTATCTGGGGTTCCTTGGTGAAATTGGCTTGGTATGGGGCCCAGGGAATGTCATGCGATGACTGGAATGGGAAGGAATGGAAGTGAAGATAGACGGCAACTACACCACCTCCTCTTTGCTGATGACATTGTTCTAATAACACCAAATATTAGCCAAGTGGCACAAATGCTGGCCGACTTTGACTGTGAGTCTGGAATGGTCGGACTACAGCTGAATCTCACCAAGACAATGTTTATGAGAAATAGTCTTGTTCCTGACATTCCATTCACTCTCAAGGGAACGACCATCTCCGAATGCAACAGTTATGTGTACCTAGGTTGAGAAGTCAACATGACGAATGACCTGGCAGGAGGAAGAGAGCGGCTTGAAACGCCTTCAAGAGCGTCGAAAACAGGATGAGAATGGGTCTCGCAAAGAGGAATCGAAAGAGCTGTGCTTGGAGTATCACACTTCACTCAAATGAGAGAAAAAATCTGGAGTTCTGACCTCCGTTGACGATCAGGAATCAGGGATGCTGTCTCGTTTGCCAAGGTGTCGAAAATCAGATGGGCTAGACATGTCATGAGATTTGGAGACAACCGCTGGACTAGAGCCATTGCCGATTGGATTCCACGGGACGTCAAAAGATCACGTGGCCGCCCACCTCCGAAATGGTCAGACTTCTTCGTCAAGACCCTGAATGATCGACTTGAGGCTTTTCATGTTCCTAGAATGAGCAGACTCCATTGGGCTACACTAGCACGCAACAGGGGCGAATGGAGACGTTACTGGCACCCGCTCGAGCAAATTGATGAGTAAGGGGATGTCAAGTGATCAAGTGATGGGGCCCAGAGAGATCTCTGGCTCTGTGATGTCTTCTGGGATTCGCTGCTGTGTCTCTGGCTTTTGATCTCTTTTTTGAGATTTATTTATGGGTCTCTGAAGCAACGCCAGTAAGAGAATTTACAGGGTGGTGCTGAAATTGATTTGTGGGGGTGACTACAAGTGCTTCCATGTATATTGGGGAGAGAGGGAAGGTAGCCCACCTCAACTCCATGAAAGCCTGGAAATTTCAGTCACAAAACCCGCATACCTGAATTTTCAGCAGATTATATCTTGCTGAAGTCCATCCTGAGACAGTGGAGTCAGACTGGGAGTCTGGGGGCGATTTTGGATTGTTGAAGCAAGCGGCTACTGGTGGCTCTGCTTGGGCAGGCATAGGCCAACCTGCCCCCCTCCGGTCTGTTCAGCCATGCACAGTTCTGAGCTTAACTGTGGCTTTTAATCTCTTTCGAGGTTTATCTGTGGGTCTCTGAAATAAGGCCAACAAATGAGCTTGCATAGCTGAACTGGAGGTGGTTTGTGGACATGGCTCCCACATACCTAACTTTTGGCCATTCAATATCTTGGTAAACTTGGTCCCAAGTTGTTGGGGTCTGGCCAAAGGCACAGCAGTAAATTTGGGGTGTCAGGAAGCCTGAAGGCACCGTCAGGCTGCTGATGCACTAGCCCTGAAGGTACAGGTTGACCTGTTGGCAGCACCATACCCCCATCATTAATGATGATTTAGAGTTGCATGTCGACCTGGCCTTTATCAGTGGTCTTTACCCCCTAAAATAATAAATTGTTAAACTGTGTATACTTAGACTTGTTGAAAGTTAACTTCGTTTGTGGTTAATTGTATTTGTAAATTTAAATTTTGGTGATGGGGTACAACCAGCAGTGCTAAGAGCAACATCTGACATGGTGCTCAAAAGCCTCTCCAGGCAGAGGACTATGTGGTCCTGGGGATTAAATTCAGGACCTGCTACTACATGCGAGACACTTGATGTGCACTTACACCCTTTGAGCTACCCTGTGCGCGCGCGCGTGTGTGTGTGTGTGTGTGTGTGTGTGTGTGTGTGTGTGTGTGTGTGTGTTGGGCCACACCAGGCTGTGTTCAGGGCACACTACTGGCTCTGCCTCAAGGATCACTCTTAGCGGGGCTTAGAGGAACATCTGCAGTACCAGGGATTGAGCAGGAGCAGCTGCATGTACGGCAAGCACATTACCTGCTGTTTTGCGAAATTCAGACCACTTGTTCAGAAGCAAAATGTGACTCTGGATAAGAGGCTCTCCATCAAATACCTCGTTCAGGTATTGAAGAATATATTAAGTATTTGTATATGTCACTTTGGTGGAGATATGGTGTTGCAGTGTTGTATACATCAAATCCTACCATTAATAGTATTGTAAATCATGGTGGCTAAAACAAAATTAAAGAGAAGAAAAGAAACTGTAGGCAAACAAAAACAAATGGAATTAACCTATTCATAGTATATATGGACTGGAGCGATAGCACAGTGGGTAGGGCGTTTGCCTTGCACGCAGCCAACTGGGGTTTGATTCCTCCACCCCTCTTGGAGAGCCCGACAAGCTACTGAGAGTATCTTGCCCACACGGCAAAGCCTGGGCAGCTACCCATGATGTATTAGATATGCCAGAAACTGTAAGAAGTCTCACAATGGAGACGTTACTGGGCCCGCTCGAGCAAATCGATGAACAACGGGAGGACAGTGCTACAGTGCTACAGTTATTTTGTATTGAGAGATAATTTGTGATTTTAGTGTTTTCCTTGACCTTACAAATTTTTATTACATTTTATTTTATTTTAACTTTTTGGGTCACACCTGGCGATGCACAGGGGTGACTCCTGGCTCTGCACTCAGAAATTCCTCCTGGCAGTGCTCAGGGGACCATATGGGATGCTGGGAATCAAACCCGGGTCGTCTGCATGCAAGGCAAACACCCTACCCCCGTACTACCTCCCAGCCCCGATCTGACAAATTTTTAAAATAAACTCTAATAGCAAATCGTTTCTCACACATTAAACTGCTGTCTGTAATCTTAACAGAGTAGATTATTACTCTAAAAACAGACCTTACAGTAATGAAGGGGGCTGGGGGGGTAGTTCAGTGGGCTAGAGAGCGTGGTTTGCGTCTAGGAACGTCAGACCCAGTTCCTGGCATTGTGCGGTGCCCCAAACACTGAGCTAGATAGAACCCCCAGCACCACCAGGTGTAACCCCAAAGAGCAAACAAAAATCTAAGGGTTTTTTCTTTTTAAATAGAAAAGTAGATCCTTGAAACAATAGTGTTATTTAAAACATTCGGAGAACACTTTGGGGTTACCCCTAGCTCCTAGCTCCACACTCAGGAATTACTCCTGGTGGTGCTTGAGGAACCATGGGGGATGCCAGGGATCGAATCTGGGTTGGCCGCTTTCAGGCAAGTGCCCTATCCACTATACCATCTCTCCAGACCCAGGATATGTGTTTCTACATAATAAGCTTGAAAGTTGAAATAACTGTCTGATCCCTAGGCTACAGAAAGAATTAGAAGGCATGAAAATATTTATCTCATTGTAATCTCAATGAGTTCTTGGGTGGGTAAGTGCTAGGTGTATCTTTTTAATAAACCTACCAGCGTTTTCCCTTCTGATGTCCAACACGCCGTTTCATTGGTAAAGAAGCATATAGCATCCAGTCCAGATAAGGTCAGATCCGAACACCTGCAGAATCTGCCACAAATACTCAATACACAGGTTTGGCTCTTCACACACTACCTGCCTGAATGCAAGGTTCTGTCCCAATGGAAAACCAGCAGGACTGTTCTGTTGTACAAGAAGGGAGACATCCACGACATTGGCAACTATTGCCCAATATGCCTAGTGTCCATCGTCTACAAGTTGTTTGCTTGAATCATCCTGAATAGGATTGGCAGAACACTAGATGAAGGACAACCATGTGAGCAAGCCGGGTTCTGCAAAGGATTCAGCACAATCGACCATATCCGCACAGTGATGAAGCTCATTGAGGTTTTGCGAGAGTTCAAGATGCTACTCTGTCTAACGTTCATTGATTTAAAGGCCTTTAATTCTGTTGAGACTGAAGTGGTCATCAAAGCCCTGGCCAGACAGGGCATTTATACTCAGTACATCAGGATCCTCCACAAGCTGTATTACGGATTCACCACCAGGATCTCACCATTCTACAAAGAAGTAGTCATCCATGTCAAGAGAGGGGTTTGGCAGGGTGATACCATTTCACCAAAACTCTTTAGTGCCATCCTCAAGAACGTCATGCGACAACTGGAATGGGAATGAAGATAGATGGTCGGCAATTACACTACCTCCACTTCGCATGATGACATCGTTCTAATAACACCAAATATTAGCCAAGCAGCACGAATGCTGGCCAGCTTCGACCATGAGTGTGAAAAGGTTGGACTGCAGCTGAATCTCACAAAGACAATGGTCATGAGAAACTAACTATATTTGATATTCCATTTGCTCTCAACGGAACGAACATCTCCTAATGCAGCAGTTATGTGTACCTGGATCGAGAACTCAACATGACAAACGACTTGGCGCCAGAACTGTGCAAGAGGAAGAGAGTGGCGTGGAATGCCTTCAAGAGCGTGGAAGAAGTTGTTAAGAGGACAAAGAACCTCCAGCTCTGGGCACATCTTTTCGACTCCACCGTTCTTCCTTTACTAACATACGCTTCAGAGACCTGGGTCCTACGAAAACAGGATGAGAACACTATTCGGGTCTCCCAAAGAGCAATCGAAAGAGCTATGCTTGCAGTATCACACTTCACTCAAGTGAGAGAAGGAATCCGGAGTTCTGACCTCCCTTGATGATCGAGGATCAGGGACACTGCCTCATTTGCCAAGGTGTCGAAAATCAGATGGACTGGACACATAATGCGATTTGGAGACGACTGCTGGACTAGAGCCTTTACTGACTGGATTTCACAGGACGTCAAAAGAACGCCTGGCTGCCCACCTACGAGATAGTCGAACTTCTTCGTCAAGACCCTGAACAAACGGCTTAAGACTCTTCGTATTCCTGGAGCGAGCAGACACCATTGGGCTACACTAGCATACCACAGGGACGAATGGAGACATTACTGGCACCCGCCGGAGCAAATCGATGACCAATGGCATGGCAAGTGATACAGGTGATACAGTTACAGGTCTTTATAGTCTGCTTAAAATGCTGAGTTAGCTATGTTGTAAACAGATGCACTGTCCTCTTCTGGGCATTGTTACTGTACTCACAGAGCTAGCCAAGATAGGGTTAGCATAACTCTTTAAGGGCATTGGGTTTTTAGAATGTAAAATAGCACTGGTTTCTACTCGTGCTCATCTACATTATCCCCTAACGGAGACCCTGTCCTTTGAAACTAAAGATGAACTCATCTCTAGTTAGGAAAATCCTTAAGGATGTCTTTCCTAATTTAAGGCTATTTCATGCACATTGATAATCTGTAGTGTTCTCTCTTGAACACGTCTCTGTTTTTCTTCCCTCACATCTGTCTAAGTTTTAATAAAAACTCTTGCTTCACCAAAAATTGGAGAGGGAGGAATGTCGTGGCTGATTTGATCTTTTGTCTAGACCACTAAAACTTTGTATCAGTAGTAAGTCTGTTTTGCTTATTTATCATTCATATATTCACTGGAGTAGCACTTTTAATTTCCTTTAAGAACTTGTCCTTTTTTTTTTTTTCCAAAGAACTTGTCCTTTGCATTCACAACTTGACTGACATTTTTGGTTATTTTTGGTAACACCAGGCTTACTTTTGGTCTATCTCAGCTTTCAATATGCCTTCCTCAAAGCTTATTTCTAGCTTTGGATTTCAAGTGAGAGATGTGTTCCAACTGAAAACTTAAAAGGCCATTGTAGGATTATTTACTGGCTCAATTTCAATATTGTATTTTGGGAAGAACATAGCATTTATCTGTTACTTTTCCCTTCTTATATGGCCATGTTTGTGACACCCCAAAATAATTTCAACATTAGTGTAATTACAGTGTAATCACACCACAGATCCCTTTTTACAGATCACCTTAATAGACACAACAATAATAAAGTTTGAAATATTGTGAGAACAGGACTAGAGAGGTAGTACAGTGAGTAGGACGTTTGCATTGCACACAGTTGACTTGGCTTCTGTCTCCAGCACCCCGTACGGTCCCCTATGCTTGTCAGGAGTTAGGCCTCAGCATCTCCAGGTATAGCCCAAAAAGCAAACAAAAAAAATAAGTAAATAAATGGAATATAGCTATAAAATGTGACACAGGCAATAGTAAGTATATGCTATTAGAAAAATAGCTCTGCTTTCCTACATGAAGCATTACACCAGACCTTCAGTTTTTAAAAAATTGCGATAATTCAGGGGCCAGAGTGGTAGTACAATGGATAGGACATTTTCCTTGCATAGCATCCCACATATATTACCCCGAACACTGCCAGGAGAGTGCAGAGCCAGGAGTAACCCATGAGCATCTCTGGGTGTGACCCCAAAATAAAAAAAAAATAATTTTTTAAAAAATTGCGGTAATTCAAACTAATAAAATGAGTTATATGCATATGCATGCACATTATGTATACACACAAAGAATATTATTCAGCCGAAAAGACAATCTTAACTGTATGCAACACAGTAAATCTTGAGGGCCTTTGGGTTAAGTGAAATAAGTCAAACAGAAAGATGAAACTGATATAATTTAGAATCTTTAATAAAAAGTTGTACAGTTGACACCCTATATCTATGGATTTTGCATCTGGGGATTCAGTCAACATCAGATTGAAAATGCATGCTATGTTGTTAGGCCTGTGATTGTATGAAACACGTACTATTTTTTCTTGCATTGATTCCTGAACAATGTAGTGAAAAGTCACATAAAACAGTAGAACAATGCTGTAACACCAGCTACATTGTATTGGGCATTTCCATGGAGAATATGTGTGGGTTCCTTGTAAATAAGTATGACATTTCATAAGCGACAAGTACATACAGATTTTGATATGGAGTGAGCGTTGGTCTGGAACAAATTTTCCAGTCCTGGAATGATACCAAGAGATGAATTGTACTTGTAGATACAGAAAAAAAATGAATGGTTTTGGGGAAGAGGGTCAAAAAACAAGCCCTGGGGATAAAATATGTAGCATGGACTGTTATATATGGTAATGTGTTCTATATTGAAAGTAACTAATTATGAGAATGGGTTTTCAAAGTTCTTATCACTAAAATAATTTGTAATTGTTTGATGATGAATATATTAATTAGAAATCATTGAACATTTTGCATTGTATACTGTCTCTGTCCTCCCGTTGTTCATCGATTTGCTCGAGTGGGCCCTGTAACGTCTCCATTGGAGACTTTGTTGTTACTGTGTTTGGCATATCGAATACGTCACGGGTAGCTTGCCAGGCATTGTATACAGATAACAAATTATTGTACACTTGAAATTAATGTTATATGTCAAGTATATCTCAATTAAAAAAAAATTTTTTTTTTAAAGGAAGATTATAGGTCCAGTGGGTAGGGTGCGTCTTGCATGCAGCCAACCCAGGTTCAACCCCTTTCATCCCATGTGGTCCCCCTCGCTCCTTCAGGAGTGATTCCCTGAGTGCGAGCCAGGAGTAGGTCCTGAGCAGTTGGATGTGGCCCAACGCCAATAAAATAAAAGATTAAAATTACATAAATCTTCCTCCACTGGAGACTTTGTTGTTACTGTGTCTGGCATATTGAATACTCTCGGTAGCTTGCCGGGCTCTCCGAGAGGGGCGGAGGAATCGAACTCGGGTCGGCCATGTTGGCCGCTTGTAAGGCGAACGCCCTACCCGCTGTGCTATCGCTCCAGTCCTCTAGTGTTTTAGAGCTACTTTTCTTATAAATAATTTTTTAAATTCAAGTCAAATTTCAACATACCAACTTTATTTCAGAACGTTGAACCTTCTGACAAAAATCTAATCAAGTTTGAACTGAGTGCCGAGAGCCAAAATGCCGAAAGAGAGTTTTTCAACAAAGTTTTCAAGAATTTTCCAATCAAGAGGTAACAAATAACTTTAGTATTACATGCTTATTTGATACTTTCATTAATTTTGGTGAGCTGTTTCAACTAGCACTGTGGCCTAATCAAGTTGATGCTTAAAGTCAACCTTTCACATCCTTTATCTACCCTGCCCGTTCTCGTGTGAGCCGAGTAATGTGCTTGGAATCTGTTGGTAGTAATTTCATATGCAGGGAGCTAAGGAGATATTGCAAATGACTAGTGTGTATACTTCGCATGTGGGAGGCCTGGTTCAATCCCCAGCCCTGCAACGCCTTGCAAACACCTCCAGGAACACTCTGCAGCAGTGCACTGGTAATAGTCTTTGCACACTGCCAGGTGTGGCCACCAAACAAACAAAAACATCAAAAAAACAAAGGTAAAGGCCCTCCCGTTGATCGTCGATTTGCTCGAGCGGGCCCAGTAACGTCTCCATTGGAGACTTTGTTGTTACTGTGTCTGGCATATCGAATACTCTCGGTAGCTTGCCGGGCTCTCCGAGAGGGGCGGAGGAATCGAACTCGGGTCGGCCATGTTGGCCACGTGTAAGGCGAACGCCCTACCCGCTGTGCTATTGCTCCAGCCCAAAAAAACAAACAACTCCTAAATAAAACAAATGCAGGCATAGGATAGAATTCCGCACCAACACCGGTTGCTTTTGTTCTTTTGTCAAACTTATAGTAAATTTCTACAGTAGAATCAAGTGTTAAGGACAAATGAATGAATGTTGCTAAATTAAAAAAAAAGCAATTTTCTCAATAATCTAACATAAAGGCCTCCCGTTGATCATCGATTTGCTCGAGCGGGCCCAGTAACGTCTCCATTGGAGACTTTGTTGTTACTGTGTTTGGCATATCGAATACGTCACGGGGAGCTTGCCAGGCTCTGCCGTGCCAGCGAGATACTCTTGGTAGCTTGCCGGGCTCTCCGAGAGGGGCAGAGGAATCGAACCCGGCTCAGCCAGCTGGCTGCAAGGCAAACGCCCTACCGCTGTGCTATCTTTATAACATCTTGTTTTACATGAAAGATACTAAACACAAAGTATTAGAGGGGCCCAAAGACAGGTAAAAGTAGTAGTCTGAAAGTAGAAAAAAAAATTATAAGCCAACTGCTAAGGCAACTTAAAAGTTACAATAGTTTCTGAACTGCAGAGTCAAAGAACAAAGAAGCATTATTATTTCTTTTGCTATGACAGAGACCAAACAAACCAGAGACTTCATACATGTAAGGCATTCCTTTTCCCACTAACAAATATCACAGGACGCCTTAAAGTAACTCTGAGTTTAAATTGTTAAATATTTGGCAAGTATAACAAAGGCTAATGGACTCCTCATATAAGGTGAGAACATTCAATATCCATCATTGGTCTATATATTCTACTGGGCTGGAGCAATAGCACAGTGGGTAGGGCGTTTGCCTTGCATGTGGCCACCCAAGTTTGATACCTCTGTCCCTCTCGGAGAGCCCGGTAAGCTACCGAGAGTATCCTGCCCTCATGGCAGAGCCTGGCAAGCTCCCCGTGGCGTATTCGATATGCCTAAAATAGTAACAACAAATCTCCCAATAGAGACATTACTGGTGCCCGCTTGAACACATTGATGAACAATGGGAGGACAGTGCTACAGTGCTACTATATGGCGAGAAAGGGACCCTCCTTCACTGCTGGTAGGAATGCCGACTGGTTCAGCCCTTTTGGAAAACAGTATGGATGATTCTCAAAAAATTAGAAATTGAGCTCCCATTTGACCCAGCAATACCACTCCTGGGAATATATCTCAGAGAGGCAAAAAAGTATAGTCAAAGTGACATCTGCACTTGTTTGTTCATTGCAGCACTCTTTACAATAGCCAGAATCTGGAAAAACCCTGAGTGCCCGAGAACAGATGATTGGTTAAAGAAACTTTGGTACATCTACACAATGGAGTACTATGTAGCTGTTAGAAAAGATGAAGTCATGAAATTTACATACAAGTGGTACAACATGGAAAGTATCAGGCTAAGCGAAATGAGTCAGAAAGAGAGGGATAGACATAGAAATATTGCATTCATCTGGGGGATATAAAGTAACAAAATATGAGATTAATACCCAAGAATAGCTGAGATCAGCACCAGGAGGATTACTCCATAACTTAGAGGCCAGCTGGGTATTCTAGGGGAAAGGGCAGCTCAGATAGAGAGGGGAGCACCAAATAAAGGGTGTTGGGAGGATCCTCCCAGGATGGGAGAGGCATGCTGAAAGTAGACTATAGCCCGAACATGATTGCCACTCAATGCCTCTTTTGCAAACCACAGCACCCAAAAGGAGAGAGAACAAAAGGGAATGCCATGCCACAGAGGCAGGGCGGGATGGGGTTGATGGTAGGTAGGAGGGATACTGGGATCAGTGGTGGTGGAGAATGGGCACTGGTGGAGGGATGGGGGACTCGATCATTGTATAATGAAACCCAAGCACAAAAATTTGTAAGTCTACAACTGTACCTCACGGTGTTTCACTAATAAAAATTTTAAAAAATTTACTATCAGTTTAAGATAGATGTCAATTGTTTATAGATGGTGCATGATACCATAATTGAGAAGTCAGGTGATGGTATATTTTTGTGTGTTCAAACCCTGCTTTTTTTTTTTTTTCCCCTTTATTTTATTTTATTTTTTTTAAAGTTGTAGATTTACAATTTTTTGTGCTTTGGTTTCAATTATACAATGATCAGATACCCATCCCTCCACCAGTGCCCATTTTCCACCACCATGGATAATATCCCTCCCACCCCCATCCCCCCATCCCCCCTGTCTCTGTGGCAGGGCAATCCCCTGTGTTCTCTCTCTCCTTTTGGGTGTTGTGGTCTGCAAAAGAGGCATTGAGTGGCAAACATGTTCAGTCCATAGTCTACTTTCCACATGCATCTCCCCTCCTGGGAGGATCCTCCAAACCTCCTTTATTTGGTGCTCCCTTCTCTATCTGAACTGCCCTTTCCTCTAGGATACCCGGCTGGCCTCTAAGTTATGGAGTAATCCTCCTGGTGCTGATCTCAGCTATTCTTGGGTATTAATCTCTTATTTTGTTACTTTATATCCCCCAGATGAATGCAATCTTTCTATGTCTATCCCTCTCTTTCTGACTCATTTCGCTTAGCATGATACTTTCCATATTGTACCACTTGTATGTAAATTTCATGACTTCATCTTTTCTAAGAGCTACATAGTACTCCATTGTGTAGATGTACCAAAGTTTCTTTAACCAGTCATCTGTTCTTGGGCATTCAGGTTTCTTCCAGTTTCTGGCTATTGTAAAGAGTGCTGCAATGAACAAACAAGTGCAGATGTCACTTCGACTATACATTTTTGCCTCTCTGGGATATATTCCCAGGAGTGGTATTGCTGGGTCAAATGGGAGCTCAATTTCTAATTTTTTGAGAAACGTCCATACTGTTTCCCAGAAGGGCTGATCTAGTCGACATTCCCACCAACAGTGAAGGAGTGTCCCTTTCTCGCCACATCCACGCCAGCATCGGTTGCTTTTGTTCTTTTGAATTTGGGCCAGTCTCTGAGGTGTGAGATGGTATCTCATTGTGCAAACCCTGCTTTTTAACTCCAGTATCCCACTTGTAAAATGGAAATTATGACCATTGGTTTACTGTGGTGCTAAAATAAGTCACCACAAATTTGTTGAATTTAAAACAATATAATATGGGTCAGGAAAAATAGCACAAAAGACTGGAGCATGTGCCTTGCATGTTTAGGACCCCAAGTACAGTCCCCAGTATCATGTACCACTCTCCCCAACACTTTAGAGGGCTTACTTCTAATTCTGTGTTCTGAAATCGCTGCTGGTGATGCTGAGTGGACCATATATGGTGCCTGGGATTGAATCTGGGTACTGCAGGACTAGCACCTTGACCACTGTACTCTCTCTCCCACCCCCAATTCCTGTTTTTAGTACCTACTCATTAAGCTGGTAAAGGATCCAAACCTCGCCAATTCAGTTTCTGTTTAATACTCTTTTTTTCTGGGGTTATATCTAATTCTGAGCAAGTTCTGCTGATTCAGGATGACGTGATTGTTATCTGTCCGTACTGCCATTTGCTCTTCATTTGCAGCAGGGCTTTGGCAGTATGTTTATTCTGTGACCTCCTCACCCTCTTCAGGTCACCAGTTCTATTTGTCATGTTAATCCTGCACAGAGGTACTTGGGTAATTCTGTATTCTCCATATCGTTCTCTGAAGGGAGAACTTTGCTTGACTATAACATACCTTTCTGCTTAAACACATCTTTTAGACATTTGGACTAGTTCTTTGCAGGGCTGTGGAATGGCAATACCACTGTGTTCTTTCCAGCTAGACAGGGTTTAGAGTAGAGGTCTTTCTGTGGACATCTTCCGACCTACCTGTGGGTTCTTTTATTCTTCCATCTAGAGAGAGGCTAGGACTCCCTCAGGGATGCCACTAATGTCTCAGCTCTCTTAGCTTCTGGCCCTTCATTGTTCTTCTGTAACCCTTCCTTTTGATGCATTTACTTTAAATTCTAGTCTTAAACTGTTTTCAGCTTTTGAAACTTGACTATGTTCTCCTAGGCCATGTCACCTGTAACAATGACTGTGATAATTAAATGTCAATGGGAGGTGGTGTCCAAGATAATTTTTCCATCACAGATAACAAAGTCATAGAAAAATGTAATTCTTTACTTGATTTTCCTTTTAAATATACTGTTTAACACAGTGAGTATATTTTTTTGCCAGATTGTAAATTTTCTGATGGCTGGTCCTGTGTCTTATTTATTTTTAATAAATTCCCCATGGTGTTTTTTCAGAAGATGCTCAGTGATGTTCTTCTTTTTTTTTTGGTGGGGTTGGGGGAGAGCGGGAGGGTTGGTGCAGAGAGGAGGGCTGTGGCTCCAGACAGGATCCAAGTCCAAGGAGGAGTTTGTACAATCTCCTCTCTGGGTTTTTTGGAGACTACTTTACCTTTCTGTGTTAACCTCTGAAAGCACTATCAGCCTTAAGAGGGCACAGACAGGAGAGAGTGGCTCAGTGACAGTCTTGATTTATTTTGACATTCAGAATAACTTTTAAATGTACCACAATTAGGCAGTGAGGGTAGTTTCATTAAGTATGGATATGAAAGAAGGTAGTTTATTCAGTGTGAGTTTGACTGGACCAGCTTCTTTGGACAGCTCTTTGGCTTAAAAAATAAAATAAGTTGTGGTTGTTGGATACCAGGACAAATGATCTAGATATTTTGGTAGCGTATTACAGCTACCATTTAAAAGAAGAAAGAATGAACTAAATTATTAAAGACTTTTTGTCTCCCTACTACTCTTTAGGTCTTCCCAAAAGTTGTCTCCAGGGAAAATGCCAATAAGTGATCATGACTCTGGTGTTGAAGATGAAGATTTTTCTCCAAGACCAATTCCTCGTCCTCATCCAGTGAATCAGAAGGTATCGTTGATCTTAGAGAGAGCTGTATGTAATGCCAGTGATTGAACATATAAGACAAATGCCCTACCAGATGTACTTTCACTCGCTCTAGCCCCACAAATAAATACTCTCTGATACTAAATATGAGGAATATCTCCACGCAAAGTGAAGCGTGTCTTCTAAAAAGTGTTTTGCCTCTTCCACTTGTTTCATACTTACAGGTTTCTAAAATCCAGCCTTTAGTTCCTGAACTTTCACTTGTGCTGGATGGCGATTTCGTAGAACAGTGCCCTCCGCCTAAGCCATTGAAGGTGTTGCCCACTGAAAATCCTCCGTCATTGGTTCACCACACTGAAAACTTCGAGCCATCACAACCCTGTCTATACAACGAGAAACAGAGCCCTCAAGCCGAAGCTGGAGCACCTTCCTTGAGAGGGCTACTGAGTCCATTGAGCCAAAGCACTGCTGTCTCCACATACAGCAGAGTGCAAGAGCTGTCTGCCTGTAAGAAAGGGAAGCCCCGATGCCCGAGTGGCGTGCGGCCGTCTGCTGACACAGCTGCAAAGCTTCAGACAGGTTCTGCTGGAAGTACACACAAAGAAGAGTTTCCTGCCAGACCTTCCACTGTAAGTTCCAGCCCATCTTCTCTCGCCCCACAATCCCTCCCACACAGTTTGGTTTTTTCAACTCATAACTCTGGAAGACCGGCGGAACTGCAGGTACCTACTCCCCCACCGCTGTCTTACTATCCCACAAACGTTTGCAGTTGTTGTCAGCGTCATGGCCACATTCAATATTCCCCAATAAATTCTTGGCAAGGAATGAACACCGTGGCATCTGTTCAAGACCTTCGTCCTGAAGTTCTTCAGAAGCACTCATTATTTCATTCAAGTGGATGTCCAGCTCTGTACTGTAATGCTTGCTGTTCTAGCAGTCCTATGGCCTTGAGACCTCAGGGACTCGTGGGTGCTTCTCCCCACAGCAGTGTAGAACCATCTCCCATGGCAAGATTGCCTTCGCATGTGGATTCATGTAACCCTCGACCTTGTGCAGTGTGCATGCAGACACCCAAGACTGGGTCCGACGATGGCATGATGGGACTGTCTCCTGATGCTTACAGGTTCCTGACAGAACAAGACAGACAGCTGAGGCTACTTCAGGCACAGGTTTGCTCCGAGTTTTCTTCATTCTGTTAAAGTCTTGCTGTTACAATTTCTTAGAAAATATCTTTAGTAATTTTAATTTATGCAAAATGTCAGAACTGGAAGGAGTGTTAAAAACTGAATTCTAGGGCCGGAAAGATGGACATTGGATAGGGTGCTTGCCTTGCACTTGACCGTCCTGGGTTTGATCCCCAGCATCCCCTATGGTCCCCTCTGAGCACCAACAGGAGTAGTTCCTAAATACAGAGCCAGGAGTAACCCCTGAGCACTGTTGGGTGTGACCCAAATTGGCTCCCCTCCCCCCAAAAAGAACGAAACTGAATTTTATTTCTTGTTTTACACAAAAGTAAAATAAGAATTTGAGAGGCAAAATAATTTATCCAGTGACACATTGCTAGTTTGGATAAAACCAGACCAGTGAAGTGTAAAACCAAGCCTTCTCTGTCTTGTTGCACATTCTGACTTACAACAAAACTGCATTCTTCTTTCATTTGCTAGCCTCTAATAAATTCTGTGTAAGTTACTCAATCTTTATATACAAGTAAATACACAGCGCAGTGGATTCTGCTACAAGTTAAATTTGTCAGCTCCATAGTAGGTATACTACTCTTTTGAGCCAGTGTATCTTTTCTTTTTTTTTTTTTAAATTTTTTTTTCTTTCTTTTTTTTTTATTAGTGAAACACCATGAGGTACAGTTGTAGATTTACTATTTTTTGTGCTTGGGTTTCGATTATACAATGATCAGATACCCATCCCTCCACCAGTGCCCATTTTCCACCACCATGGATAATATCCCTCCCACCCCCATCCCCCATCCCCCCTGTCTCTGTGGCAGGGCAATCCCCTGTGTTCTCTCTCTCCTTTTGGGTGTTGTGGTCTGCAAAAGAGGCATTGAGTGGCAAAGATGTTCAGTCCATAGTCTACTTTCGACATGCATCTCCCCTCCTGGGAGGATCCTCCAAACATCCTTTATTTGGTGCTCCCTTCTCTATCTGAACTGCCCTTTCCCCTAGAATACCCGGCTGGCCTCTAAGTTATGGAGTAATCCTCCTGGTGCTGATCTCAGCTATTCTTGGGTATTAATCTCTTATTTTGTTACTTTATATCCCCCAGATGAATGCAATATTTCTATGTCTATCCCTCTCTTTCTGACTCATTTCGCTTAGCATGATACTTTCCATGTTGTACCACTTGTATGTAAATTTCATGACTTCATCTTTTCTAACAGCTACATAGTACTCCATTGTGTAGATGTACCAAAGTTTCTTTAACCAGTCATCTGTTCTTGGGCATTCAGGTTTCTTCCAGTTTCTGGCTATTGTAAAGAGTGCTGCAATGAACAAACAAGTGCAGATGTCACTTCGACTATACATTTTTGCCTCTCTGGGATATATTCCCAGGAGTGGTATTGCTGGGTCAAATGGGAGCTCAATTTCTAATTTTTTGAGAATCGTCCATACTGTTTTCCAGAAGGGCTGAACCAGTCGACATTCCCACCAACAGTGAAGGAGTGTCCCTTTCTCGCCACATCCGCGCCAGCATCAGTTGCTTTTGTTCTTTTGAATGTGGGCCAGTCTCTGAGGTGTGAGATGGTATCTCATGGTGGTTTTGATCTGCATCTCCCTGATGATTAATGATGTAGAGCATTTTCTCATGTGCTTTTTTGCCATTCGGATTTCTTCTTTGAGAAAGTTTCTGTTCATTTCATTGCCCCATTTTTGGATGGGATTGGATGTTTTCTTCTTGTGGATTTTAACCAGTATTTTGTATATCCTGGATATCAACCCCTTGTCAGATATGTATTCGGAGAATATCCTTTCCCATTCTGTAGACTGTCTTTGTATTTTGGTCACTGTTTCTTTGGAGGTACAGAAGCTTCTTAGTTTAAGATAGTCCCATTTATCTATCTCTGTTTTCACTTGCTCGGCCAGTGGCGTGGCATCTTTGAAGATACCATTAGCTTCAATGTCATGGAGGGTTTTGCCAACTTTGTCTTCAGTGTATCTTATGGTATCTGGTCTGGTGTTGAGGTCTTTAATCCATTTTGATCTTACTTTTGTACATGGTGTTAGGCAGAGTTCTGAGCCTATTTTTTTGCATGTAGCTGTCCAGTGATGCCAGCACAATTTGTTAAAGAGGCTTTCCTTACTCCACTTCACATTACTTGCACCTTTATCAAAGATTAGATGATCATATGATTGAGGAGAGATGTCAGTGTATTCAACCCTGTTCCATTGGTCTGCAGTTCTGCCTTTGTTCCAGTACCATGCTGTTTTAATTATTACTGCTTTGTAGTACAGTTTGAAGTTCGGGAGGTTGATTCCTCCCATTTTCTTTTTCCCAAGAATTGCTTTAGGTATTCGTGGGGGCTTATTGTTCCATATAAATTTCAGGAGTGTTTGCTCCATTTCTTTGAAGAATGTCATGGGTATCCTTATAGGGATTGCATTGAATTTATACAATGCTTTCGGTAGTATTGCCATTTTGACAATGTTAAGTCTCCTGACCCATGAGCAGGGGATATCTTTGCATTTCCTCATGTCCTCTTTTATTTCCTGAAGTAGCGTTTTGTAGTTTTCTTTGTACAGGTCCTTTACTTCCTTAGTTAAGCTGATTCCTAAGTACTTGATTTTCTGGGGCACAATTGTGAACGGGATTGTTTTTTTCATGTTGCTTTCTTCTCTCTCACTGTTTGCGTATAGGAAAGCCATGGACTTTTGGGTATTGATTTTATAACCTGCAACTTTACTATACGAGTCTATTGTTTCTAGGAGTTTTTTGGTGGAGGTTATTGGGTTCTCTAAGTAGAGTATCATATCATCTGCGAATAGTGAGAGCTTGATTTTTACCTTTCCTACCTGAATGCCCTTAATATCTTTTTCTTGCCTAATTGCTATTGCAAGTACTTCCAGGACTATATTGAACAGCAGTGGAGAGAGGGGCATCCTTGTCTCGTCCCTGATCTTAGAGGGAAGGCTCTCAGTTTTTCCCCATTGAGGATGATGCTTGCTGTAGGCTTGTGGTAGATGGCTTTAATTATGTTGAGGAAGGTCCCCTCTATACCCATTTTGGCTAGGGTTTTCATCATAAAGGGGTGCTGGATCTTGTCAAATGCTTTCTCTGCATCTATTGATATAATCATATGCTTTTTATCTTTTCTTTTGTTGATATGATGGATTATGTTGATTGATTTCGAATGTTAAACCATCCTTGCATCCCTGGGATGAATCCGACTTGGTCATGGTATATGATCTTTTTGATGAGTAGTTGGATTCTATTTGCTAGTAGTTTGTTGGGGATCTTTGCATCTGTGTTCATCAGGGATATCGGTCTGTAATTCTCTTTCTTTGTGGTATCTCTGTCTGCTTTTGGTATCAGTGTGATATTTGCTTCGTAGAAACTGTTCGGAAGTGTTTTTGATATTTCAATTTCGTGGAAAAGCTTAAAGAGGATTGGGAGTAAGTCCTCTTTAAAGATTTGGAAGAATTCACTAGTGAATCCATCCGGGCCAGGACTTTTGTGCTTGGGGAGACTTTTTATTACCATTTCAATTTACTTGATGGTGATAGGTCTGTTCAGGTATTCCAGGTCTTCTTGGTTCAGCCTTGGGAGTCTGTAGGAGTCTAGGAATTTATCCATTTCCTCGAGGTTTTGATGTTCCGTGGCATAAAGCTTCTCAAAGTATTCCCTGAGGATCCTTTGAATTTCTGTAGTTTCTGTTGTAATGACCCCCTTTTCATTTCTGATTCGGTTTATTAGGGTTTTCTCTCTCCCTTTCTTTGTGAGTTTTGCTAGAGGCTTATCAATCTTGTTAATTTTCTCGAAGAACCAGCTCTTGGTTTCATTGATCTTTCGGATTGTTTTTTGGGTTTCCATCTCATTAATCTCTACTCTGAGTTTTATTATTTCCATTCTCCTGTTCGGGTTGTGCTCCTTTTTTTGGTCCTTCTCCAAGCTCTTAAGCTGTGAGGTTAGGTTACTTATGTGTGCTCGCTCCTCCTTCCTGAGGAATGCTTGTAGAGCTATAAACTTTCCTCTTAACACAGCTTTTGCTGTGTCCCATAAGTTTTGGTAACTCGTGTTCTCATTTTCATTCGTTTCTAGGAATCTTTTGATTTCCTGTCTAATCCACTCGTTGTTCAATAGTGCACTGTTTAATTTCCAGGTGTTTGATTTAGTTTTCTGTTTTTGTGTGTGATTTACTTCTAATTTCAGCGCATTATGGTCTGAGAAGATTGTTGATACAATCTCTACCTTCTTAATTTTATGGAGGCATGTTTTGTGGCTCAGCATGTGGTCTATCTTGGAGAATGTTCCATGTACGCTTGAGAAGAATGTGTATTCAGCTTTTTGTGGATGAAGTGTCCTGTATATATCTACTAAGTCCCTTTCTTCCATTGTTTCCCTCAAATGAAGTATGTCCTTGCTAAGCTTGAGTCTGGTTGATCTATCAAGAGGTGACAAAGCGGTGTTGAAGTCTCCCACTAGTATTGTGTTGCTATTGATATCTTTTTCCAAATCTATGAGTAGTTGTTTTAAGTACTTTGCTGGTCTCTCATTAGGTACATATACATTTATTATTGTAAGTTCTTCCTGTTGTACAGATCCTTTGATCAATAAGAAATGTCCTTCACTGTCTCTTATGACCTTCTTCACTCTGAAATCGATGTGGTCTGATATTAGGATGGCTACCCCAGCTTTTTTATGGGAGCTGTTTTCCTGTCGGATTGTTTTCCAGCCTTTGACTCTGAGTCTGTGTTTGCTTTGACTATTGAGATGTGTTTCTTGCAGGCAGCAGAATGTTGAGTTCAATTTTCTAATCCATCCTGCCACTCTATGTCTTTTAATTGGCGCGTTTATCCCATTGACATTGAGGGAGATTATTGTTATGGGATTTTGTACCATTGTTCTGTTGAAATTTGGTGTATTTGAGGGGCCTTTCTTGCCTTAAAGTAACCCATTTAGTTGTTCTTGTAACCATGGTTTTGAGTCTATGAAGTTCCTGAGCTGTTGTTTGTCTGAAACTGTGTGTTGTTCCTTCTATTATGAATGAGAATCTCGCTGGGTAAAGTATTTTTGGTGAGGCATTTATTTCATTGAGTTTTTTCACTATGTCCCACCACTGTTTTCGGGCCATGAGGGTTTCATCAGAAAAATCAGCTGTGAATTTTAAGGATGCTCCTTTGTAAGAGATTTCTTTCTTCGATCTTGCTGCAATCAGAATTTTGTCTCTGTCTAAGGTTTTGGTCATTTTGATCAGAATGTGTCTTGGGGTATTTTTATTCAGATTTCTTCTAGCTGGTACCCTTCGGGCCTCCTGAATGTGGTCACAAGTTTTCTTCAGCTCTGGAAACTTTGTAGCAATGATGTCTTTGACAGTTTCTTCTTCATCAAGGTTTTCTTCCTGTACCTCTGGGACTCCAATAATTCTTATGTTACCCCTCCTGGCTTCATCACGATATTCTCTTGCCATCTGTTCCCGAATTGTGAGTCTCTTTTCCATTTTCTGCTCTTTTCTGGCGAGTCTCTGAACTTCATCTTCGAGCTCACTGATTCTGTTCTCAGCAGCTCTTACTCTGCTGCTGAGGCCTTCCACTGAGTTTTTCAATTCGCCTACGAGATTTTTCAGGTCTGACATTTCTGATTGCATTTTCCTCATTTCTGCCTTCAAATCCTCTTGTCTTCTATTGGCATTGCTTTCCATTGTTTCTTTTAGTTCCCTAAGCATCGTAAGTAGCTCCCTTCTGAATTCCTTGTCAGAGAGGTTGTCTACCACTACAGTACTGTTGGTGTCATCTGGGCTAGACTCTTCAATAAGAAAGTTTGGTGGGCTTTTGCGTTACTTTACCATTGTGACAAGTGTGGTTTAGTCCTTCACGTTCACTGTTGTTATTCTGCTTGATATGCAGTGTGAGTTAAGATAGGCTTATTAGTTATTGGCTACTGTGTTTCTAGTGGCTGAGCTAAATTAGAGAAGTTTCCATCTAAGAAGGTAGCTTATGGTTCCTATGGCATATGTAGTGGGAAAATATTTCGCAGCTGCACTAGCGGCCGCGGCTCCGGAAAGAGTTCCTGGCACTAGGTGAGGAGTTGGGAACGTCACCTGGTTGGAATGAGGAGCCATTCAGCTTTGTTGCCCAGAGCTGGGCCTCTGTGCCCGTCCCGCGCAGATCAGGGGAGAAAACCGGCTTTCTAGGAGATGGATCTAGCTGCGCATGCCCAGAGAGGGTCCCAGGCCCTTGGGGGTGGGCTGTACCTGGTTGGAATTGGAGCCGTTCAGCTTTGTTGCCCAGAGCTGGGCCTCCGTGCCCGTCCCGCGCAGATCAGGGGAGAAAACCGGCTTTCTAGGAGATGGATCTCCAGTGTATCTTTTCTTATATATTTTTCCACCACCCTATTTTATTATGAAATGTATGCATAATTAGTTTAAGTTTTTAAACATATGTGTAAGTTTTTTAACATGTTAGTAGAATTTATTAGAGTTCTTAGATGTTTACATTCTGCAAAGATTATGACATTTTTCAAATTCTACTTAAAAATGCTTTTGATAGGACAACTGAGAAAAATGTTTGCTTTGGGAGGATTTTTCCTTTGTTTTGTTTTATTTATAGCACAGCGGGTAGGGCGTTCGCCTTACACGCGGCCAACATGGCCGACCCGAGTTCGATTCCTCCACCCCTCTCGGAGAGCCCGGCAAGCTACCGAGAGTATTCGATATGCCAGACACAGTAACAACAAAAGTCTCCAATGGAGATGTTACTGGGCCCGCTCGAGCAAATCGACGATCAACGGGAGGACCTTTACCTTTACCTTTTGTTTTATTTATTTATTTATTTATTTATTTTTGGCCACACCAAGCTGTGCTCAGGGTTTACTCCTGGCTCTGTGCTCAGGAATCACTCCTGGTAGTGCTTGGCGGACTGTACATGGTGCCGGTGATTGAACCGATTTGACCACGTACAAGGCAAGCATCCTGTTCCCTGTACTAGCTCCTTGGCTCCTGGTATTTTGATTTTTGGTTTTAATATAGGAAATATCCCCATTGTTCTTATTGTTCTTGGATACCCAGAAGCCCACTTTTGGTCATACTTGTCCCAGTGGTGCAAGCCTGATGGATTTGCTCAGATATGACAATGCTGGGGGCCATCAGGGACTCACCCAGCAGTTCTTGGGTGGGGTGAACTGTCATGCTGGGATTAAATTTGTAGTTTCAAGTTTTTTGAACACTTCAAGTAAATGTTCAACAAATGAAAACATTTTAAAATGTCTTTTTTTATATATACTATAGGAGTACTGCTATTTATTCAGCCATTGATTAAGCTGATTGAATTGGGCATGAACTCCACTAAAAAAATCCTTTAAATTCTCACCTTAGATTTGGGTGATATTAAAGCTCATAGTACTTAAATACCTTTTCCAATAGACATTACAGTAGAATTTTAACTAATCCACAAGTTATCAAAGCCTACAATCAAGCCACTATAAGTGCACTATATGCACTGTTTTGTATTATTAGCACAGGTTATATGCCCATTTTATTTTATTGATAATACTTTCATTATCATGTTATTTCCTTAAAATTAATGAGATGAATTGAATACAGTCCTATATAGGAAAATAAAAAATAACCGTGCTTGGGCTAGAGCAATAGCACAGTGGGTAGGGTGTTTGCCTTGCACGCGGCCAACCCAGATTCGATTCCCAGCATCCCATATGGCCCCCTGAGCACCGTCAGGGGTAATTCCTGAGTGCAGAGCCAAGTATAACACCCATGCATCACCGGGTGTGACCCAAAAAGTAAAAAAAAAAAAAAAAAAAAGCAGTGCTTCAAAAAAGGAAGATTTCCTCCACTCCTCATGTCTACCCAAAAGGAATTATACAATACTTTTACACAAAAACTCTAATATAGTCATGTCAACTTTATTATTATAAAAACCAAAAGTAAAAGCAGTCTAGATTCTCATCATCTGTTGAATGGATAACTAGCATGACAGATCTATATAATGGATTGTCAGTCAACCATCAAAAGTAATAAAGTATATTTGTGTGTTACTGTTTTCTTTGAACATTTGCACAACAAAGTTGTTTAAGGACCAAAATTTTAGAATTCTCACCGTCATTAAATCACACATGAGTGTACTGATAGATGTTACAGCTTAGCATGGTTGAACTTTGAAAACATTGTGTTTCTTTAACTTTGTGCCAGGTTAAAGAAGCAAGAAACAAGATCATATAATGCATGGTTCCCATTATAGAAAACATAGAATAGGCAGATCTATAGAAAGTAGATTAGATCTTTCCAAGAGCTGGGGAGAGGCACAGTGGAGAGTAACTCCTTATGGGAACAGGATTTTTTGCGGGGGTTAATGAAAATCTTCCAGAATTTGATAGTTGTGATGATTACAAATTTTATGAATTTATTATTAAAAGCCAATCAATTGTATACCATAAAGTAGAGGTGGGAAACCTTTTTTTTCCTGCAAGGGCCATTGGGATGTTTGTGCTCTCATGCATGGGCTGTAACCTACAAGCAAGCAGATGGGTCTTAGGTAGCCAGTGAGAAGTATATGTGTTCTCCCATCATGTATCAAGGTGAGACCACCTAATTTCATGGGCCTATATGCCCCAGGCCATACATTCCACCCTCTTTTATGAAAGGATGAATTTCTTTGTATGTGAATTCTCACTTTTTAAAATTTTTTTTTTGGTTTTTAGGCTACACCTGGCTCAATTCTCTGAGCTCAGGAATCGTTGCTAATGATACTTGGGAAACTATGTGGTGCCAGGGCTCAAACCAGGGTCATCTGTGTACAAGGCAAGAACCTTGTACACACTCTCACTACTCCTGGCTCTGTGCTTGGGAGTCACTCCTGGTGGTTGCTCAGGGCCCATAGATAGTTCGAACTAGGGTTGGCTGCATGTAGAACCAGCCACCTTAACTCCTGTACTATCTCTCTGGCCTCACAATTTTGTTTTTAAAACTTCCAAGTTTTCTCATCTATAAACATGTTTAGTAGTATACTCTTCGTGGTTTTGTAAAAATCATCCATAAAAGCCTACTATCCTATTGTATAACAAAAAGCACTCAGAACGTTTTGGCTATATAGTTCAGCACAGTGAAACATGAACATTTCTGATTAACCTTGATTAAAAAGTGTTGTGTTGAAAAAAAGAAAGTGTTTGGCATTTGGCATGTGGAGTCAAAGCATTCCTTCTTACTTCAAAGAATACCTTCTTTTCACTTGTAAATGAAATACAAATAAAATGTTTACCTCAAGTATTAGTGTTCAGGTTTCACTACGTGAGTGTAAATTCAGAATGTTAATCTAAACCACCTGTATGTTTTTATTTTTAAATTCGCACTTAGTCCGAAGTGCCTCTCAATGACGCTAAATGATTTTTTACACTGAATAAGTCTGCTTGAAATACAAGAAAATGTAATTAAAAGTCAGTTCATTGTAACTGGGTATTATAATCCATTGTTAAACTCTGCTGCCAGTTTTGTTGATTACTTTATTGTCAGCTTAAAATATGTTTTTAATTGATACAGATTCAGCGTTTACTGGAAGCACAGTCTCTGCAGCCCTGTTCCCCTAAGACAACCACTGTTGAAGACACAATGCAGTCTGCTGGGCAGATGGAGTTGGTTTCCATGGAAGCGCAGTCTCCTGGTTTGCACATGAGAAAAAGTGTAAGCATTGCTGTGAGCACAGGTAATTCCATTCTTTTTACGTATAAGGAATTTTTTTATTACTGCTTTTCATATCTTTTTAAAAGTTTACATTGAAATTGGTGTATGGTCTCAGTAGAAACAAGACCAAGGTGATGGGAATATAATTTGTTTACAATTTTACTCTTTATAAACTAAAACTTTGTTCATACCTGAAAATTAATATGAGACCATATCACATAAAATGCTATTTGCTTTGGCAATTTCCCAGCCTGAACCCAATTTTAATAAAAAAAAAAAAATCTGGTCTGAGGGATTGGGAAGGTTTCAGTTAGGCACTATTCTGGGCCTTAAAGGGTATGTGGGATTTTAGTGGGTAGAATTGAAAAGTGGCAGAACAGACTGGATGAAGGATATAGTATGGGCTTAATACCCAAAAAAGGGGGGAGGGGTGGGACTCTATTTTTTAATATGTCCCTTAGAAAGGAATGTTTATTTCATTTGATAAACAATACTTAAGGCCTTACACAAGATCAGTTAATAATGTAAATGGCATAGTCAAATGATCGCTCTCTCCCACACTGATACTTTTGAGTGTCTTCTCAGATACCTTTGGGTTCCCAGGACCTGGTGTGATGTCTAATCCTTAGGGTAGTGGTAATAAGAAAGAAGAGGAGTCTCTGCAGGGAGTTATTGGTAGATTTGATAATTTATTGAATATGACAGCTGAGAAAGGGGGAGAATTGAAAAGCAACTCCAGTTTGATGCAGTGTGATGTCCTGGGCAGAAAAGGATAGTGGGGAAAATGGTGAAATTCCAATTATCTAGACTTTTAATAATAACATATCAGTTTGCTTGACTCTTCTTGATTTCAAAACTTCATCATGATAATGTAAGATGATAATGCAATCAAGGTAAACTGAGTACAAAGTACTAGGAACTGAAATTATTCCAGAATGAAATGTATTACAGATGAAATTAAAAATGAGTCTAGGACTAATCCTAGGTGAGAAAGGGACGGGTCAGTAATGAACAGGAGTCAAGTTAGAGAAGCAGAGGAGAATGGGACGAGTTCATTCTGGATCTGCTGGGTTTGAGAAAATAGTTTCAACTGCTTTTCAGTAGCTTTCAAGGCCTACGTAACTCCCAGATTGTACTCAGAAGCTTTTTATATGAAATGCATTGTTTGGGGATCTAGCTAGAACATCCCCTTTTCCTCTGTGCCCTACTTTTATTTTTCTTGGTACCCTACTTTTCTGACTTTTCACCTTTCACTTACCTCTTCGTTGGCATTTCAGAGATGATTGTGTTAACATAGTTAGTCTAACCCAAAAAAGGATTTGTCAGGTAATTATTTCTATAGTTGGATATTTGTTTCATTGTGTTAAATTATTTAACTTCCAGGGGCCAGCTTGTTCTGGAATGCTGCAGGGGATAATCAAGAGCCTGAATCTCAGTTAAAGCAAGATGATACCAAGATTTCTAGTGAGGACATGAATTTTTCTGTTGATATTAATAATGAAGCCACAATTCCTCCTGGTAGTGCTTCTTCTTTAAAGGCAGTTGATATTCCCACTTTTGAAGAGAGTAACATTGCTGTGGAAGAAGAATTTAATCAGCCAGTTTCTGTATCCAAGTAAGGCTTTGTTACCATTCTTGCTACTTCATTTTCCTTTTTTAGGGGTGTGTGTGTGTGTGTGTGTGTCTGCGTGTGTGTGTGTGTGTTCTCACTTAGAAACTATATGTATTTTTCCTAAATAGTATTTTGATTAGGTTCTTTTCTACTATAATTTCTAAGTATTTTACAATTCTGAATTTTCTAGAGATTTCTGACATTCTTTCCCAGATGTTAATCATTGGATGTATGACCATTGTTGAATCAACAGCTGAAGAAAATTTTAAAAATACATATACTGATACTTGATCATGTAAATTCTTTTTGCAGGGAGGCAGGCCACACTCGGCAGTAGTCAGGGCCTTCTCTTGGCTCAGTGCTCAGGGATTGCTCCTGTCAGTGCTCAGGGAACCATATGGGGTGCCAGAGATTGGTTCGTCATGTGCAAGGCAAGCACCCTACTGTAGTGATACGGCCTGGCCTAGAAATTCTGATGATTCTAGGTCTAGCTGGAGATGGAGGCTCTACAGATTGGGTTTCTGCTTTTAGACTTGAGAGGTTTGGTGTTTTCATGAAAGTATAATTACTCGTATCAGTTGAAAATAGCCTATCTGATTGGTGTGGGAAATGTACGCTGGTGAAGGGATAGGTGTCCAAACACTGTGTGACTGAAACCCAGTCATGATTAGGTGTGTGACTGTGTGTATCTCACAGTGATTCAGTAAAAGAAGAAAGAAAAAAAGAAAGTAAAAAAGTCAAAAAAGAAAGAAAATTCTGCTGTTTGGGGAACTGGTAGCCGAAGAAAACATCCATTCTACAGCCTGTGCCAGACACTGAATCTCCTTTAAACCTTTCTACCTAGGGAAATAGATAAGTTGTTTCTCCTATTCTATAGTTGAAGAAACCAAGGCCCAGGTGAATAAGACATTTTCTTTAGATACAATATGTAGATAACTATTATAAATAAAAACATGTGACATTTGGGAAAAGGAAAATTTTCTTTGTCTCACAGGGATCTAGTAGAGAGGGTGCAGAGATAGCACAGGCATTAAGGGTGTTTTCCTTGCAGGCAGATGATGCTAGTTTAAACTCTGGTTCCACATATGGTCCCCCAGGCACCACCGGGAGTAACTGAGCATTGAGCCAGGAGTAAGCCCTGAACACTGGCAGGTGTGACACAAAAAGAGGAGTTGAGAGAACACAGCCTTCTAGGGTTTTACCAAAAGTGGCTTAGGGAGGCACTTTGTTGCTAGCGCTCAAACCCAGGCTTCCTGCATGCAGAGTATATGCTGGAGCCCCTTGAACTGTCTCCCCAGCCCTATCTTTATGGATTCAGAAAAATAACATTGTAGTTAGAGAAAGCAAACTTTTATTTATTTGGGGGTGATGTGAGCATTCCTAAGAAGGAAACCTGGGGGTCACTCCAGGAGTAAGCCCTGAGCACAGCCAACTGTTAACGCATTTTTAATAAAAAGTTAAAAGTGTACCAGAAAAAATCTTTCAAAAAATAATACAGGTATAGCTGTGAGTGTGTATTTATGTGTGTGTAGCACGGGAGCACTGTCCTCCCGTTGTTCATCGATTTGCTTGAGCAGACACCAGTAACGTCTCCACTGTGAGACTTGTTACTGTGTTTGGTATATCGAATACCTCAGGGGTAGCTTGCCAGGCTCTCTAAGAAGGGCGGAGGAATTGAACCTGGGCCGACCAGGTCAGCTGCCTGCAAGGCAAATGCCTTACCTGCTGTGCTATTGCTCCAGACCCATGTGTGTGTATATTTATTTTTTTAAGCAGATATTTTTTAAAAAGCTTACTCTCTTCTTATCCCTCTTACTCTTCACCCAAATTTACCCACATTTCTTCCTTTTCTACCCATCTCCTTAAGATAAACTCTTAAGTTACTAATTTACCTTTTTTTTAGTTTACCTTCTCTGTATTTAGCACAGATGAGCAAATTTGACTGTGTTTCTTGTGTAATAAATATAACTAGGTATAAAGGTGACTATAAATGGTAACATAGGAGCTTTTTTGACAGGAATCTCAACTATATTTTAAAACTTAATATGTTTAGCTATTCTAAAAATGTACATTGTAACAAACTGAAGGGAAAGTCTATTGTTTTCCAGCTACCATGGAAAGTTTTTTTTGGGCTAGGTGTCAGCTCTAACGAAAGAGCACATGTGCAAGGCTGAGTTCTGTCCCTGGCTATTTGTGGCGCCAGAGTTCCACTGGTGATAATAGGATAAGCATAACCACCTTGTAGACCATGCTTTCTTGAGAGTAGCTGCTTGAAGGAAGGGAGGGAGGGAGGGAAGGAGGGAGGAGATAGAAGGAACTGGAATATAGTTCTGGAATAAAGTGGAAGATCACTTGCCTTGCATGCGGCTGACCTGGTCTGATCCTGCATCCCATATGGTTCCCTGTGCACCTCTGTACACCGTCAGGACTAATTCCTGAGTGCAGAGCCATGAGTAACCCCTGAGCATCGCCAAGTGTGACCCAAAAACAAAAAAAAAAGAAAGTTGTCTAAAAATACTGCACATAACTTGAAATGTGTCATCATCCAGTTTGTGTGTAGCTTTTTGAAGTTTATATAGAAACTATTTATTTATTTATTTATTTATTGCTTTTTTGGGGGGGCGCGGGGGGGTCATACCCGGCAATGCACAGGGGCTACTCCTGGCTCATGCACTCAGGATTTACTCCTGTCCGGTGCTCAGGGGACCATATGGGATGCTGGGAATCGAACCCGGGTCAGCCGCTTGCAAGGCAAACGCCCTACCCTCTGTGCTGTTGCTCCAGCCCCTATATAGAATCTCTTAAAGCTAAAATACAAACCATAACGCTGTGATTTGAATGTTACCTTTTTTTTTCAAATGTTACTGTGCTTCAACTATGTTCAAGACACCTTAATAACTAACACTTGATGTGTATATTATTTCAAGTAGCTCTTCTCCAGTTGCGAGGAAAGAACCCAGTGTACCAGTGTTCTTTCCACATACCCTGCCTGAGAGTGTGAGCATGTGCTTGGAGGATGGAACGATAGAGGGCGCCAATAACAATCCTGTAACAACCAGGGAACCAAACACTGATCAAGTTAAGCAGACTTTGCCTCATCAAACTTTAGACAGCCCGAAAATATACCAGGATTTATTGGTAAGAAAACTGAAGTGTTTCATTCTTTGTGAGGTGTTCATTTAGTTGGGGCATAAGCTTTTAAGCAAATTGGCACCTTGACGTAAACAAAATTTTCCCGCAAATTGATGTCATTAATTTAACTTTTCATAAATTATGATAATCTAAATATAGTAATTTACAGTAAGCATGCCAATCATCAGTTAATTAATCAGGAGGAAAACTTTATTTTAAAAATATATCCTGCTTGGGGCGCTGAGCGAATAGTACAGTGGGTAAGGCTTTTACCTTGCATGCAGTCAACCAAGGTTCAGTCCCCAGCACAGCATATTCCCCAGAGAACCAGCAGGAGAGACCTAGCCTCCGCACCCCACTATATAAAATATCTTCTTGTACCATATGCAAACAAAATTTAGTACCAGAAAGAAGGATCATGTTTCTAGAAGTTCAAAAATGAGATAGCAGTATATGAGAAAGTATTTATGAAAATTAGAAAGGAATATTTATGATACATTTTTATGATATTTAGATATGCTGGTTTTTATTAAATAAAAATCTAAGTTTAGTCTAAGAAAATAAACTAATGTGAAAACTATAAAGATGAATATCATTTTTCTGTCTCCTAAGGGGGGAGAGCACTTAAACACCAGCGACATTTTTTTTGTTCGATTTTTATTTTTGCACTACACCAGTCATGCGCAGGGGTTTCTCCTGACTCTCTGCTCAAGAATTATTTCTCGTGAGGCTGGAGTAATAGGAAGGAGAATAGGGCTTTTCCCTTCATGCAGCTGAGCCAGGTTCGATCCCTGGCATTCCAGATGGTCCCCCAAACACCATTAGGAGTAACTCCTGAGCATCTCCAGGTGAGACTCCCCAGAAAGCCAACAAAACAATCACTCCTGGTGGGGCTCAGAGAATGGTACGGGATTCCGGAGATAAACGCCCTGCTCGCTGCACTGTCTTCTCAGTCCCAGCACCAGTAACAATTATAGGACACTCTGGGAATCCCTTTAAGCAGCGACAACAGGATTGAAAGAGATAATTCTAGGGAAAAGGTCATCTTGAAAAGGTGAGAATGAAGCTTAGAACTTAGAGGTCAAATGACCCTGATGTATCTTCTATCCAAATATAAACTTAAGAATGTTGGACAGCTTCATATATATAATTGAAAGCTAACTGAACATACTTCATAGAGCAATATTTATTCACCATTAAACACATATTGTTGCTTACTTGCTGGATCTTGACTGGTGCCGGCCTCTGCGCGTGCTCACGGTGCTTGAGTGTCGGGAAGACAGTCACAGGGCAACGCTTTCCAAGTGATTAATGAAAGGCAACTTCTGAAAACAGCATAAGGAACTAATTTGTAACTCTGAAACATCATTTTCAGATAAAAGCACCATTTAGAAATTTTGTGTATAGCTTACCAAAAATTATTGAAAACACTAGAAATACTACCCAAACGATGTAAAATCTCTTGGTTTTAAAATGAATGCATTTATCTGTCATTCCATTTAAAGCATATCTTCTTGTTGTTGTTCTTTTTAAAAATTAATAAATAAAACTGCTTTGTTTAATTAAAAATAAAATGAATGCATTTGGGTCAGAGAGATAAGGTGCTTGCCTTGCGTGCATCTGCAGCCCTGATGGGCTTGACTACCCTCACCACATGTGGTCCCCTGAGCCCTTGAAGTCACCACCAGATATGGCCCAAAAACTAAACATTAGAATAAATAAAAATGAAAATACACTGAGGCCAGAGTGCTCAGTTTATCAAAGTGTATATGTTGCATGTAGAAGGCCCACACTTGATCCCTAGTACCGCATGGTTCCCTGAGTATCTCCAAGAACAATCCCAGAGCATAGAGGCAAGAATAGCCCTAGGGCACCACCAGATATGGTCCAAAAACAAACAGGAAAAGAACAAGTTCTAAAAAAACATTCCAAGTTTCCTCTAGAGTCTGGTGAAAGGTTTTGTTCGGATGAGCTTTGCATTAGCTTCTTAATATTTGCAAATGTACCTGATATTTTGTTAAGGTTTATAACATGCGGTTTGATTTTTTTATTTTTGGTCTTACATATGCTATTCATATTTTTGTCTCCTAGGATTGTTTTTATTAATATTAATTGATTTATTTTTTATTAATTGATTAATTGTTTTTATTAATTGATTAATAGATTGATTAATAGTAACTCTCTGAATGTGTTCTTTTTGTCAGGGGCAAGTGAACCACTTATTAAACTCCTCCAAAGAAAATGAGCAGCCATCTTCTAAAGCTGTTATTATCAGCCATGAATGCACCAGAACCCAAAATGTTTGTCATACAAAGAAGAAAAAAAATGATTCAGGACTGGTGGACAAAGATTGTGTTCTTAATGCAACTCTTAAGCAATTGAGAAGCCTCGGAGTAAAAATTGATTCTCCCACTAAAGTGAAGAAAAATGCGCATAAAGTAGATCATGCCAGGTAACCTTAAATTTCTTTCAAAAGACAAATCGGGGCCAGAGAGAGTATAGCAGGCATGGGCTCCTTGCACACACCCAACCCACGTTTGGTCTTAAGCATCCCATATTGTCCCTGAACCTGCCAGGAGTGATCCCTTAGTGCAGAGCCAGGAGTGAGCTCCAAGCGCTGCCAGGTGTGTCCCAAAACATAACTATAATAATAACATAATAAACTTAAAAATAAAAGATGGATACATTTTAGGTGTAGTCTCCTGAGAGCGGGTATAAGCTTGCCAATCAATTCAGTTGATTCATCTCTTTTCAGGTCTAGTGTGGGAGTGAGAACAAGAGAGTATTTCTAGCTCTGTCCTTTAAATTCTTTCTTTATATAGGAAAGAGACTATGTGTGAGAGTTATTGTGTGTTTTCTCCTGGATATAGATGCCAATGAAATGTTCTGGGAGCCATGGAAAAGAAAGAAAGTCATTTCTGGTGTTTTGAAAGTCAAAGTTCTGGGGGCCAACGGGTAGAACATCTTCCTTTCACACGGCTGACCCAGGTTCTATTTGAGGTATCCCGTCTGGTCCTCTGAGCACCACCAAGAGTAATTCTGAATGCAGAGCAGGAGTAACCCCTGAACATCACTAGGAGTGGCCTCAAAACAACAATAACCAAAAAAAAGTCCGGAAGTTCTGTCCTAATTGCTGGATATGCAGCATGTACATTTATGTCATCTAAGAGGGAAAAATAGTCTTTTTTTTCCCTCCCCCCAGGAATTTATTTATTTATTTATTTATTTTGCTTTGTGGGTCGCACGCACCAGGTGATGCGCAGGGGTTACTTCTGGCTCATGCACTCAGAAATTACTCCTGGTGATACTTAGGGGACCATATGGGTTGTTGGGAATTGAACCCGGGTCAGCCGAGTGCAAGGCAAACACCCTACCCGCTGTGCTCTCTTCAGCCCCTCAGGAATGTATTTTGAAGAGGGTAGTTGAAAAATCCTTGTTGGTTGGTCCAGTTGTCTCTACTCAGCTGTTCAGATTCTTCATTAAAAAATGAACTTATATACTTATATACTAAAGTATATGGCTTGTTTTCAAAAAGAATAAAATTTGGAAATTATATTAATCAGGTAGCATGTTTTCTGTTAAGGTTTTTTATTATTTTTTGATTACTAAAGAAGCCTCATGATTGTTTTTAAAAAATAAAATAGTATGCAAGAATGTCAAATAAGATGCAAAAACCTCCGCTTCCCAGACTCTTCAGTTTCACTCCCTCGAGGTTATTTTTTGTACCTTTATTTTTTATTTTGGAAATTTGTGCTAGCTCAAGTATATTATGTATTTGATAATGTTACAATTTAGAGGATGTTTTTGTTTAGTTCTGCCTTAGAGATGTTAATAGTTACACTCAGTTCTTATTCTGCATAATAAATACTCAGTTGTATCCATACACTGTAATATAGTGAACCTCGGTCCTTTGTCAGTGGATGTTTAGACTGACTATCTTATTTCCTGTCTCAAGCAATGCTAAGTGGGCATCATTCTACAGAACTTGTACAAGTATCTTTGTAGGAAAAATTCCTAATTGTTGGCAGGGTCAAAAATATGTTTATCTAACGTGGATACTAAGTTTCTGTTCTGAGCTAACCATGAGAAATCACGTGGTATTGAAGATGCCATAGTAAAAATAGTTTTGCTCTCATAGAGCTTAGATTTAGGGAGAAATATGCAGATAGTTGATTGGAATATTTCTGAAACCTATGGAAAGGAATAACAAAGTCTGCTGCAGAAGCACATAGAGGTGCCTATGTAATTTAGTGCTACGTAATAGTTGTCCTTTATTAAAATTGCAATATTTAAAAGTCTCCACTTAGGTTTAAAAAATACCTTAAAATATTTCATTCATATTTTATTGGATATTAATAAGTTCTATGTTATTGTGATTAAAATTGAAATTATTTCTCCAATATGAAGCCAGATGTTCTGTCACTAATCTTCATCTTATGTTTGTAGTGTTCTGTCCTCAGCCTATCTGAAGCCCACATAATCTGTTCACATTGTTCCATGATTTGCCTTAAACTTAGGAGTTTTTTGGTTGTGTTATTTATTTTTTTAGTGGGGGGTGGGGGAGACCACTCAGGCCACAGCCACCTGTGTTCAGGGCTTATTCCTTCCTCTGTGTTCAGGAATCACTTCTGACTATGCTGAGGGGACTGTATGTGATGCCGGTGATTGAGCCCTCGTTAGTTGTGTGCAAGGCCTTATTCAGTGTACTCTCTCCAGCTCCAAACTTAGTTTTTCACTTTCATCTCCTATTATTCTCAACAAGCCTACTCACTATAGACATTTGCTAGGTACTGTGCTGTTATTTTGTTTTTTAACTATTTGTCTTGTTAGAATCTTTATCTTTCAAAGCTAAAATTATAGATGACCTCCTTTGTTAAAGCTGCCTGTACTCCTTACCAGAATAATGGTCTTTGATTTCATAATACCTGTTCTTAATAGATGTACATGTTAGTGTGGTAGCCTCAGCAAGTGGGACTTTATGTATCTGCATTCCTACATCTCTGCCTCACTTAATAGGTCTTCAATTTGCTGATTGAACAAATTCCTACTATTAGGCAGTGCTCAGAAATTAGGACACATTTTCTTATAGAAATTGTGTTACAAACTGTAGTTCAGTGTTCTTTATAATCCTTGTAAGGGCCAGAGATAGTAGGTAAGTGCCCTCTAGCAGGTAAGGCACTTGCCTTGCACATGGCTGACTCCAATTCAGTCCCCAGCATCTCATATGGTCCTCTGAGCTCACCAGTGTGATTCCTGAGTGTGGAGCCAAGAGTAACCCTGAGCATCACCAGATGTGACCCCAACTCCCCCAAAAACAAATATTATTCTTGTTACCCATGCTATTTTCTAAGTTTATAAATCTGCTATACAGATTGTATCTATGTGAAAAACATTTTATCTTTTAGTTTGGAATCCAGTCCCATCAGAAAAGTATCTGAGGGAGAGGAGAGAAAAGATTTCTTTTCAGCTTTCCTACTCGAGAACATTGCAGAGATTTAGGGGCGTTAATGGCAGCAGAGCAAGAAAGAAGGTCCCAGACATCCCTAGAGATTACGAGAAGCCAGAGGTAGTGGGGTGAGCTCTGGGAGCAAACACTCCAGTATTCGAAATGAGAGTAACCTTTTGAATCTGAAACAGTTCAGCAGTCTCTCAGGTGGCTTCCTTGCACTGCTTATTGAAAAGACCATCTGAAAGAGAGTTCCAAACCCTGTCTGGGCTGAGTTGGGGATTAAGTAGCTAGTCAGGACAAGAAGCAGGGTGGGCTTTCATCTTGAAGCAGGAATGATTCTCGCACTCCTCTTAGTCTTGATGTGACCCTCTTGCAACGCATAAATGGCCTCCTTTTTAGACTGCACATCTAATGAGAGTCTAGCACAGTTTATTGTGCTCAGGGCTTTTAGAATTTGATTAGTGGAATGGCCTTTTGCTTTTCATCTTAATTACTCTAGTGTTTATATTCACTGGTTCTGAGTATTATTGATTTTATTTTCAAAGTAATGATGCTTCCCTCAGTCCCCAAATTGGAATTAGCAGGATGTGTTAGGCAGTAAAACTTAAATAAGCTTCTAAACTGATAATATCTACTTAATGAATTTATGTAGGTCCTTTAACCATTCTATTAAAAAAATCTTGTTCAATTAGACCTACTTTTTCTAAATAACTTTTTTGGGGGGTGGGGAACACCCGGTTACTCCTGGCTCTGCACTTTGGAATTATCGAAGGGTGTAATGATGGGAATCAGGGAACCATATATGATGCCAGGGATCAAACCCAGGTCAGCCATGTGCAAGGCGAATGCCTACCCCCGATACTATTGCTCCAGCCTCCCTAAATAACATTTCTCATGAAAGTTTTTGTTTGCTTTTCCATTTTCATGATAATATTCTACAGATAAATGTATATACATATATCTACTTACATGTTGTAATCTGTACAAGTTTTCTGATTGAATAGAACCTATAATTTTGAGGAATCAAAGAAAAATACTGTTCAGAAGATACGACTATGAGTTTATTACAAAAGAATAATGTCTGAATGAATTTCTTCTATCTTGAGATTGTCTCTAAAATATTAAGTATCAAGAAGGTTGACAAAGAGTTCCCAAGAATTTATGAGGACCAGCATTATTCAATACTCTGTTTCACTGTTTTGTGATGGCATTACTTATTTCAGGGAATACTAATGGTTGGAAATAGCCTCTCCAAAATTGCAGGTGCTTATGTGAATGAAAATATAGTTTTTTAGATTTTGTGGGGGTTGGAGTGCAGATAACAGCTGACTGGATTTCTTCATTGAATGATTTGGAAAATCATATATTCTTTTACTAGAATATAGTATTTAGCATAACAAACATACAAAAGACTCATTTTTAAGAAATTGAAATGCTTTTAAGTGCAGAATTCCCTTTCACAGTTTCATGAAATAATAGTGACTTTGGCGACTCAGGAAGTGAGATAGACTTTGGTCTCTTCCTAATTGTTTAGTTTTAGGGAAGTTAAACATCCTTACTCCTCAGTTTTCTCAAGTCTACATTAAAAAAAGTATCTACCTCTTGTATTTATTCAGTGAATATTTACTGAGTGCCTACAAGATGCTGGGCACTGTTCTAGGTGCCAGGAACACTACACTGAGGGAAAAAACACAAAATTTCTGTATCCTGGATCTTTTATGCGGGAGTGGACAGTAAATAAGAAATGTGAGTTAAGTATGTAGATAGCTATTAGTGCTAAGCAGAAAGTAGGAAATGATAGCAGGAAAAAGTTAACATGATTGATAGGAAAGACAAACCTCCCTGAGCAAAGGTGTCTGCAGGGATTAAATTAGCTTTTAGCAGAATAGCTGATACATTAAAAATAATAACTTTTTATAATAATTAGCACCTATTACTTAGTATATATGATAAATAGGAAAAGGCAAGTCTCTTAATGTTATTGAGATAATAAAGTAAGTAAAGTAAAGGCCCTCCCGTTGATCGTCGATTTGCTCGAGCGGGCCCAGTAACGTCTCCATTGGAGACTTTGTTGTTACTGTGTTTGGCATATCGAATACTCTCGGTAGCTTGCCGGACTCTCCGAGAGGGGCCAAAATGAGCTGAAGGTTGTATATAATGAAAGAAAACAAGTTGACACACAAATGCATCCATATCCACATTTGGAAACTGGATATTCATTCATTACCATGGAATCTTCTTCAACTATGAACAAGGTAGTATTCTGAACATTCCATCAAAACCTCCAGTGTTATCTGATCTTATTTTTGTTTTGCTATACTAATATTTAGTGGCTTTTACATTATGGGGCTGGAAAAAATAGTACAGCACGTTGCATGTGGCCAGCCCGGGCTTGATTTCTGGAACCCATATGTTCCCCTGAACCTCACCCAGAGTAATTCCTCAGCACAGAGCCAGGAGTTACTCCTGAACACTGCTAGGTGTGGCCCCAACACAAAATAAAACAATATGGGACTTTATGTTTTATTTTTAAATCTTGACTTGTGTACACTTGGAAAATAAATTTGTGCCTACTTTTAGTCTTTGAATCATGGATTTTTTTCTAGGTTATATTTATCTGGATCATAAGTGCTTAAATATTTGAGCACTCAAATGAAAATCACTGTGAGCTTAAAGTTGAAGTCCTTTGTTACTTTCATAGAATGGAATGCAGGTAATAATAACAGTATTCAGTAAGATAAGTGATCGCCTTCCCCTTTGTGTCTTTCAGCGTGTTGGCACGTATCAGCCCTGAGGCAGTGATCTCTGGATTAAACTACATGTCATTTGCTAATGTTGGCATGAGTGGCTTAAACCCCAGTGGTGTGGATTTGAGCATGGAGGCAAATGCTATAGCTCTGAAATACTTAAACGAAAGTCAGCTGTCACAGCTGTCTCTGGCTCGATCAAACCAAAACAACTGTGACTCATCTTTCGGCCTTGTGCATATCAATACAGACAGAAGCACAGTGGGGCTTAGTTTAATTTCACCAAGCAACATGTCATTTGCAACTAAGAAATATATGAAGAGATATGGACTCCTACAAAGCAGTGATAATAGTGAAGATGAAGAGGAGATACTGAACAATACAGGGGACAGAAGTGACCATCTGTTGAATCAGAACTTTACATCCGTACCTGAACACCTTGGAGATCAGAGAGAATCTCCTGGGAAGCCCTGTGAAGTGAACTGCCACAACTCTGAACCTGTGTGGACCCACACAGACGCGCCTGTTTTGAGAAATATTACAAACGATGTCATTCAGCCCAAAGCTGCACAGCAATGGAATGAAAACCCAGATTTCTTACTGAAGAACCTACACCCTAGCCCTGCTGTGAACCTCCGAACTGGGAAAGCAGAGTTTACCCAGCATCCTGAAAAAGAAAATGAAAGGGACGTTCCCATTTTTCCTGAAAATTTGAAGCCTTCCGACACTTTGAAGAACATGAACAGTATGAATTCAGTAGGCACGTTCTTAGATGTAAAGCGTCTCAGACAGTTGCCCAAATTATTTTAAGCACTTAACCCAGCCCTTCAGATCAGAGGACAGGGTGTCTCATGAACGTACTCAGGGAAGCCAGAGGCTTTGGGTAGTTTGGATTTCCCAGTCATTCAAGGAACTGTCTCTTGGTCACAGCCAATACCAAGCTCAGCAAGCTGTCTGGTTATGTGTGCTGTGTGACTCTTATGAGGACAAAGTTCTGTGACCACGTAGGACCCAGCAGACCCACTGGGACCTTCTTTGAAAGAGCAAACCCTGGGATCAGTTATTTATGTCAACACAGTATATAAATCTGATCAGACTGCTCCTTTTTTTTTATACTGTACGTTTTGAAAAGTAAATCGTCCTAGCTTGTTTTATTTCTATATGTATCCCACTATCACTAAAAGAACATGAAATATAGTAATCATGTCCCTGACTAAATCAAATTATCACTTATTGAATTTAAAAGGAACTTTAAAAAAAAAAGATCTTTTATACAAAGTATATATGTCTTCTTAAGATGCATGTTAGTGAAAGCCTGTGGATGTGAATTTTCACAATCTGATGGGTTGATGTTACTATGACATGTTCAACATAATAGCTCTAGCTATCACTGAAGAAGGAGATCATTGGGTATGAGTATTTTATAAACCTTGAGTTTTTCAGATGTTTTGATATTTTAATAGAACTTAATAAAAATGTCTGGCTTGATTTTTCCCTTGTTTTTTGCAGTAACATGTATTTTTTTTTATTAGTGAAACACCATGAGGTATAAGTTGTAGACTTATAAACTTTCGTGCTTGGGTTTCAGTTATACAATGATCGAGTCCCCATCCCTCCACCAGTGCCCATTCTCCACCACCAATGATCCCAGTAGCCCTCCAGCTCCCCCACCGCATTCCCCCCCACCCCGGCCCACCTCTGTGGCAGGGCATTCCCTTTTGATCTCTCTTTCCTTTAGGGTGTTGTGTTTTGCAATAGAGGTATTGAGTGGCCATCGTGTTGGATCTGTAGTCTGCCTTCAGCACGCATCTCACATCCCGAGCGAGCATATTCTTTACTACTTAAAATAAATTTTTAGGCGTATGCGTTATAAGTGTGACTAACAGTATTAGTGTTGTAAATCCTAGTGCCTCAATAAAAGTTACCTTTTTTGAAAGTAATTTTTTGGAGGGGCTGGTGAGATGCTCAGTGGACAACAGTGTATCCCCTCCATGCATAGACAACCAACTCAATCCCTGATACCACATGGTCCCCCAAGCCATTCCGGTATAAACCTGGCGGCCCCCAACCACTTACAGGTGTGATCCTGGTGGATCTTAAGCACTCTCAGGAATGCCTTGATGGCCCCAACACTGCAGGACCCAGCAGCAGTTGAGTATTAGTAGTTGTTTCCCTCCCACTCCCACCTTCTTGTAGAAACTTTTAAAAATTGTTAGCAATTTTAAATTGTTATTTCTTTTTTTTTTTTTTTTTTTATTGAATCACTGTGGGAAAGGTTACAAAGCTTTCAGGTTTATGTCTCAGTCATGCAAATATCAAACACATTTCCCTTTACCAATACTTATTTTTTACCATGAAGAACCCCAATAAAACCCCACCCCCCACCCCTCCCCGTCCCTGTGAGGCAGATGAATTCTAGTTAACTATCTGCTTTGATTAGATTCATTGTTTCAATAAAAGATTCACCACTATTATTTAGAGTTTACCCCCCCCCCCCAAATCAGACATGCTGAAAAAGCATTGTGAAGTGATTTGCTTTCTACGGCTGGGTTCAAGAATTAAATGTTGGTTTTAAATTGTTATTTCTGAATACAAATAAATCAAGTTCTTGAGAGAGAAAAGTCTTCTGAAGTGAAATTAACGTAGTTTAATCTATGAACTGTCAAGAAATAGGCTTTGGCTCTCTCAACACTTTGCAGCCCAGCTGGGGCCACTGAGGTCATAAACTGATAAAAAAAAACTTGTGGTAAGCCCATGTATGGTAATGGCTTTCAGGAGCCAGGGAATGTTGATTCTCTGGAACGTTGCTCTGTCCTGTTCAAGTGAAGACCCATAAATGGGAATGATGAGTCTCTCTTCCCTTGCTTCTTTAAGCATTATTTGATACTTCAGTTATTTTAGTAGTTTATTTCAGTAACAACAAGTTAGTAATAAGAAATAAACTAGTAAATAGTTCACGTGTGAACTGTTACTGAAATAAAGAAAGCAGCAGAGTTGCTGATGGCACTTGGCTGTGCTTGTTTACAGCCCCGGGGTTTCGCCCAGAGGCATAATGTATGTTGCACATTTCTGGAAAACTGAGCTAACGTTAGTGAAGCGACTGGCAGTCTGTTGCACCATTATCCAGAGAACTCTGGAATTGCTTTTCTTTGTTTTTGTTTTTAAAGCTTACTAGTGTGTTATTTCAGCAAAATTTTGCAATAGGTTTAAAAGACACCGTTACAGGCTAAAAAGTAACAAAGATACGTTTTTTGTTTTTGTTTTTTGTCATACCAGTGGTCCTGGGGGGGGGGTACACCTGGCTCATCGCTTAGAATCACTCCTGGTAGTGCTCAGGAGATCATGTATGGTGCCAGGGATCAAGCCTGGCCTTCCACATATGTAAGCATGTGTTTCAGTGTATCGAGCTGTCTCTAACGAAAAGAAATGTTCTCTGTAACCAAAATATCACAAAGGTCTTAGAAGGTTTATAGGATAAAAGATCCATAGAGAAAATTAAAGATATCCAATAGTAATAGCACTGTATATAGCACTGTCCTCCTGTTCATCAATTTGCTCTCGCGGGCACCAGTAACGTCTCCATTGGAGACTTGTTACTGTTTTTGGCATATCAAATACGCCATGGGGAGCTTGCCAGGCTCTGCCGTGCAGGCGGGATACTCTCGGGAGCTTGCCGGACAGAGGAATCAACCCAGATTGGCCACGTGCAAGGCAAACGCCCTACCCGCTGTGCTATCGCTCAAGAAAGACTTCAAACTTTTTGTAGTTTACTTTTTATATTTTATATAACATGATTGCAATAGTAAATGTTTATGGCGTTGATGTACAGTTGTTGTACCCCACCATTCCTAAATGCCCAGGGCCCCACTTGGTCCCTTTATCATCTCTAATCCAGCTCTTCTTTCCTCCACCTCTGCTCCCACTGCTTAATAATGTTTTGTAATCCAAGGTCAAGAATTTGTCAACACTCAGTGCTAATTCCTTGTTTTGTTTCTCTGTGCCTCTAATAGCTTTCCCCTTTGACTTACTTAACATGATGCTCTCTAGTTCTGTCCATTGTTGTAAAAAACTGCAAGATTTCATTTTTTTGTTTGTCTGGGGGCCACACCCAGTGATAGTCAGGACTTTCTTGGTTCAAGAAAATGCTCAGGAGTTTCTGCTGGCAGGGCTCTGGGGACCTACAGGATGCTAGGGATCTAATCTGGGTCAGCCATGTGCAAGGCAAATGCCTACCAGCTGTACAATTTATCCAGCCCCAAGCTTTTGTCTTTTCTTAAAACTCCATAGTATTTTATTGCATATCTACCATTCACCTTTTGAACATTTGTCCACTCACCTATTAAACATTTGCATTGCTTCCATCTTCTAGCTATTGGAGTAGTGCTACAATGAACATGGGTGTGCATATATTTTTTTTAATTGACGTTTTTGTGTTTTGGGTCTCTGATGCCAAGAAGTGGAATAGCTGGCTCATGGGAGCTCTGTTCTTTTGAAGAATACACAGAGGCTGAACCAGATGACGTTCTCACCGACAGTAAACGAAGTCTTCTTTTTCCCCCAGGTCCCCACTAACTCTGATTGTTTCCAGTGATTGTGGTATGAGCCATTCTCACTGGTATCTCGTTCTCATTTTGATTTGCATTTCCCTGTCAGTGATGACTACTTTCCTGAACCTTCATGTTTTCTTTGGGGAAGTGTCTCCTCTCCCCAATTTTTAAAGAGATCATTGGGGTTTTGTTGTGCTTTGTGTTTTATATATTTTGGATATTAGCCCTTTATCGATGTAGTGTGAGAATATTTTCTCCTGTCAGTAGGTTGTGTTTATTTCAGCTCGAGTTTCTTTTGCCACACCAAAGTTTTTGCTTTTGTTTTTTGTGCCATACCTCCGGGCTTACTCCTGACTCTGTGCTCAAAGTTCACTTCTGGCAGTTCTAAAGGGTCCAAATGCATTTCCAGGAATTAAACCTAGGTTGGCCACATGCAAGGCGAGTGCCTTAACCCCTGTGCCATCTCTGATCATACAACATTTTTTCCATTCGATGTAGTACATTTGTGTTTGTCTTTGCCTCTGGAGTCAAATAATTGAAGACATTTCTCAGGTCCTTATCCTGGAGAATTCTGCCTGTTTTCCTCAATTTATTTGAGAGGTTGGCTTAACCTTGAAGTCTTGAACTATTTTCTTCCCAATATATTTTTTAATTTTCTTCCGAATACAGTGCTCTCAAATCATAAACATGAATGGGGGCATAAGAAGCCCCAAACTAAAAGTATAGACAAAAGAAGTAGAACTATTAACTTAAACAAATTTTAGCTGGCATTTTTTACTGCTCTTGATTGCAAGAAGTATGTGTTTGATGAGGGAAGCTTGTAAGTCATTAGGCTTACCACAGGGACAATTAAAATTAGCATCATAAGCCTGGAGATAGTACAGCAGGCATGATGCTTGCCTTGCATGCAGCCAATCAGTGTTCAGTCCCTGGCACTACACATTGTACCCCAAGCACCTCCAGGATTGATCCCTGAACATAGAGCCAGAAATAAGCCCTAAGTGCCGCCAGGGATGGCCTCCGAAACAAAACAGAAAATAGCCACGTACACTATTATTCCTATCACATTTTTTCTTATAACAAAAGAATAATTAGCATATTTATTAGACTTGCTTGTTACATATTCAGGGACAAGGACCTGGAATTTTCACATTTCGAAACAAGCTGAACTGAGGTCTAGAGGACATCCTCTTTTTGTTTTTGTTTGTTTGAAGCCACACCTGGTGATGCTCAGGATTATTCTTGGCTTTGCACTCAGGAATTGCCCCTGGTGGTCCAGAAGGGACTTTTTGGGGTGCTGGGGATCAAACCCAGGTCAACCATGTAGAAGGCCAGTCCTCTACTACTGTATTATTGCTCTATCTTCTGAAGCACATC